TCGTGGGGTGTCCCCTATCGCTGCGAGAGAGACAGAGCGACGAAAACGACTCTCGGAATCAGTCTGCAGAGCCGGCAGGCGGCGGTGGTCAGTGTCCGCGAGGGTGGCGGCACGAGGGGCGAGGACAAGGCGGTGGTCGATACAAGCCCCTTGAGGAGGTGGCGCCGCCGTTGTAAGTACCGGCGGTACCGCGCCACGCCGCGCCACGCCGCGCCACGCCACGCCACGCCACGCCACGCCACGCCACGCCGCCAACACCCGGCGACTGCCGCCGCGCCCTGCAGGGCCCTGGCCACGCCATCGCCGTCACGGGTAGCAGGGCGGGGCCAGGCGGGGCGGTTCGAGCTGGTTCGGCCGCGGGTCGCGATAAGGGTGCACCCTCAGAGCCTCGGACCCTCCCTCGAACGGCTGGTCGAGCCTCCGGTACCCTGCCGTCGGTAGATAAGCGGAGGGAGGGGAGGGGTGGGGGCATCCCTTGTTTGAACGGCCAACTGTCCAGCGGGGGTTCCTCGTTGGCCATCCTGGCCGCTTCGGGACGACCCCCAGCGCGCAGCACAGCGCGCAGCGCAGCGGGCCACCAAGCCGGCCTTCAGCCTTGGCGCGGGTCGCTACCCCCAGCCGTTGCCGCTGGCGGGGTGGGGCGGGGCGGGGCGGGGCGTCCATGAATTCCCAAGCCAGCAGCGAGACCACGACCCACTTGGAAGGGGTTGCCAGGCCTGCAGAGCGATGTCGCACAGTGGTCGTGTTTAGCCACTCGCACCCCCACGGGACGCCCTACGAGAGCAAGAGAGGCAGACGAAAGCGCCGTTCGGCCTGCGAGCCGTAAAGGCGCCGACAGTGCGGAACGGAACGTGAACGGAACGGGGTCGTCGCCGGCAGGGCAGGGCGCCCTTGGGTACTCGGGGCTGCAACGCTGCAACGCTGCAACGCCGTAAAACACGACGACGGCCTGACGGCCACGGCCGCGCCGCGCCGGGCCGCGCCCTCGCTGTCCCCGCCAAAGCCCACAGTCGCGCCAAAGTCGCGTCGTTTAGTAATTCGCTGCCACTTTGGAAGTGGTTGTCACCCCACCGTAATCGGGCATCGGGCGGCGGGGGCGCCGACGAGAGGCGAGCCAAGAGCCAAGGCTGGGGGTGGCGTGGCGCCGTGCCGCGCCATGTCTCGCCGTGGCCTCAAGGCGGGGCGGGGCGGGGCGGGGCGGGGCGGGGCGGGCTGACGGTACGCCTCGTGGCCACGCCATCGGATCCCCATCAAGACCCACCCCAGTCCGCCCCACCCCGCCAAACCGCAGGCAGACCCTAGGGGGCCGGCCGGGCCCCGCGTCACCCCTTGCCTGCCCCTGGCACCCTGGCGACTAGAGCAGGCTTCGCTGCTGCGCTTGGTGGTGGCGTCGCGGTGCGGTGTCTTTGACGGGGGAGGCGTCCCGTCCGTGCCGTCCGTCCCTTGGCGTGCCACAGTGGGCCAGAAGACCAGTGGAGGCGGCCAAAACTCTAGACGCGTTTTGAGCTCCAGAGTCGCTAAACAGGACTCGAAGCGAGCGTGTGACCCCACCAATGGATTCCTCGTTCGGAGAGCAATCCATTGGTGGGGTCACACGTTCGGTTCGAGGCCTATTTAAGCGTCTCTGGAGCTCAAAACGCGTTTAGAGTTTTGGCCGCCTCCACTGGTCTTCTGGCCCACTGTGCGTGCCGACCTGCGCCCTGCATGGCGTCTAATCCCCGACACGCGGGTTATTTGAGCCCAATCACTTCACGGGGAATGAGGCTTGGGATTGTCGTGTGCCGGCGTGCCTTTGCCGCGCCCCGCCGCGCCCGCCACGCCGCGCGCCCGCCACGCCGCGCCCCGCCACGCCGCGCCCCGCGGGCCGACAAGCGGCGTCCTCACGGCCTCTGCCTTTCTTGCGTGCGGACGGGCAGTAAAAGAAGAAGAAGGAGGAGGATGAGAAATAAGCAAGTCAAAAGAAGAAGGGGGCGAACAGCGCGGCTGTTTTGACCTGAAAAAAACACGAGCCCTTAAGGACTTGGTGATAGCCCGCGCGGCCGGCGGCCGGCCCTCTCAGTTTCTTTTAAATGTTTTATCACTTTGGTCATTTTTTCCCCCTCTCCCTTCTTTTTCTGCCGCTTTGGGCACCTTGGTTTTGCAGGCCTCCCGGCCTCGCCTCGCCCGCCTCGCCGCAGTCCGCTTTGCAGTGGAGGCGCGGTGCATCTTGCGTCGCAGTCTCAGGCTGGTTTCGAACCGTGCTTCGTCTCGCCGTCTCTCTCGCACTCGTGGGGCGGTTCGTGGCGGGGTCGCCGTCCCTGTGGCTGAGAAATCGGCCGCACCGAGTCCATTCCATAGTCCATCTTGCAGTGGGCTCCGAATGCGCGAAACGGCCGCAGACTTGGAAATGGCCCCATCCATCGCATGCATGGGGCCGGCCCACCCCGGCAGGCAGACTGAACCAGGCGGCCCCTCAGTGCCGGAGCCCGGGCCGGCCCTACGGGAAAGGCAGCATAATTCTCCCTTTCCCTCGCTGTGGAGGCGGGCGGAGCGCGCTCCCTTCCCACAGCTCCCCTAATTTTTCCTGGCCGCCATGTCGCTTCCTCCCCGGAGCGAAATGCGAAAGCCGAAATCCAAGGGGGGCGAAATCGCGATCTGTCTGGACTCGCATGGGTCGTTGCTTTGGCGCATCGTGTACCGCGTGCAGCCGAGCGATTCCCGAAGATTCGCGCTCTCTCTCTCTCTCTCTCTCTCTCTCTCTCTCTCTCTCTCTCTCTCTCTCTCTCTCTCTCTCTCTCTCTCTCTCTCTCTCTCTCTCTCTCTCTCTTTCGTGTGACACTGTACGGGGTGCTCCATGAGTGTGACCGAGACGGCGACGAAATGAGCAGGCTCGGTGCGGCGTGCGCGAGGCGTGCGCCGGCTCGGCCAGTGACCCTACCAGGACCAGCCACCGCGGGCCACCCTTGCTTGCCTTGCCTTGCCGGCCGCCGCCTGGGCGCCGCCTAGTCCGTGGCACGCCGGCCCGCCCCGCGAGTAGCGTGCCGCGTGCCCGGTCGCCCCGGCAGGCTGAGTCCGAACAGAGCGCCCTGCCCTCGCCCTCCAAGGCGCTCTGTTCGGACTCAGCCCTTCGCCTGCCGCCCCAGCCCCGGCCGTGCCCCGGCCCTACGGCCCTACGGCCCTACGGCCCTACGGAGACCTCGGCAGGGAGTGAATGCCCTTTCGATGCAGTTCGAGTGCCCGGCCCGCCCCGCCACTCCCCGCCCCGCCGACGAACAAGTGCGGGAAAATGACCGGCGGCTTTACCCGGATCGCGTCATTATGCGCGCTGGATTGGAAAAGTGGGGGGCGTAGTACGGCTTGACCTCTAGCGTGGCGCCTAGCGTGGCGCCTAGCGTGGCGCCTAGCGTGGCGCCTAGCGTGGAGCCGCCGTGGGCCGCCGAATATGCCGCGGTGGGGCCGTCACCGTCGCTGTCTCTCTCGCGCCCCTAGAACAGGCCCCATGTGCTGGAGGGACGGAGCGACGGAGCCACTGTTCGGAATCGGTCACGAGGTGCCGCCGCGCCGCGCTCTCCGCCGCCGCCGAGCGCCAGGCCAGGCCGGCCGGGCCGGCGCACGGTGCGCGCATTTTGCGCAGTTTATAGGCAGTCCTGATGGGACGCGCGGCGCGGCGGCGTGGCGGCGTGTCGCACTGCTCGTTCTTCTCGCTCTGTCTCGGTGTCTCGCTCTCGCGGATGGCGACAGGGAGTCCGCGGAAGGCCGCCGCCAAAGAGCAAACACGTCTGGAGCGCCGGCACACTGGCGGACTGGCGCGGCGCGGCGCGGACTGCAAGTTTGGATGGCTTTGGCGCCCATTACTTGGGACTGTCTGCTCCGCTCCGCCCTCCAGACAGTTTAGAGAGTCCAGCCAGAGTCCCGGCCCAGGCCCGCCCCGCCCCGCCATAACAACTTCTCCAAAGTCGCGGAAAGGGGAGACACAGACAGAGACACGGGCACTGGCTTGCATCGGGACGGCGGCGGCGGGACGGCCCGCTTTGGAAAGTAATTGTGTTGTTCAAGCTGTGCGCGGGGAGGGCGTGGCGCGGCGTGGCGCGGTGCAGCGCGGCGGGGGTGGAGAAGCTCGCCGTGTAGAAGGCCAGGGCATTATACTCGTGAAACATACTTTTATTTTTATAGAGCTGCCCCCTCCCCTCCCCTTTCGCCTCTCGCGCTGTGTGTGTGTGGCGCCTACCTTGCCTTGTGCAAGCGACCGTAAATCGCATGTGGTAGCTGAGGCTGATGGAGGCGAGCGTACGCCCCACGGCACGCCGGCACGCCCCGCGGCACGCTGCAAGGAACGCCGCGTGCGTGGCGGCGTGGCGGGGCGGCGCCGAACGGGTACACTGGATGGGCAGCGCGCGCATGCGGCCGCGGCGTCGGCGTTGGCGGGCGCCTAGCCGACCGGCGACTCGTCCTGCCGGTGCCGGGTTGGCTTGGCTTGGGTTGGGTGCGTTTGACAGGCCGGAGTTTGGCGGGCGGGCGTTCCGGGCGTTCCCTGGCCGTCCTTGGAGGGAAGTCGTAAAGGACGCTCGGGGCGGGGCGGGGCGGGGCCAGGCCCGGGCAAGGCAGGAACATGCGAGGTCAGTCCCGTGCTTCTGAGCTTGCCGATGCCGGCCTGGCCTGCCGGCTCCCCGGCCGATGCTATGTCGGCAACCTGGTAGACGATCGACTATTGCGTCAGCGCGCCCAGCGCGCCCAGCGCGGCGTGTGCGACGGCGGGACAGCGGCGACAGCCACGCCCAGACTCGTTAAGCCCTTTGACGGCCTCGGCAGCCCTGGCTGCCGCTGGCTGCCCAGCCACGGTAAGGACAAGGGCGGCCTTGAACTAGTTGTGTTTTGCGGGCGAGGCTGCGCCATGCCTGCGCCATGGCTGTGCGCAGGCACGCGACAGCGCCCTGCTCTGTCCGCTCGCCCCGACTGGCGTGCACCGACGTATTCAAACTTCCTGCCCGGATTGTCCTCATCCCTGTTTGTCCTTGTTGCAGATGGCTGCATTTGCTGTTCAACCTGCTGGTGCAGCTGCTGGTGGGGCTGCCGCTGGAGATGGTGCACGGCTCCACGAGGATCGGGGCAGTCTACATGGCCGGCGTGCTGGCGGGTAAGAGGATGCGAGTTGAAGGAGCGCCAAGACATGGGCGAGCATGTGCGGCCTAGCCTCTAATGGTAATGGTAGTGCGAGGCAGGCCGCCCGGCGTGCACGCGCGCGCGCTACCGCAGCGGATTGCCTACCCGCCGGGCGTTCCCGCGCGCTTTCCCCCGCCCCCGCCCGCCCCGCCCCCGCCGCCCCCGCCTCCGCCCACGCAGAGCGCGGGGCACGCCGGCACGCCGAGCATGGCCCAGAGCCCCACGGGGAGCCGCGGGGAGCTGACGGGGTGCCGTAGCGCACACTGGCGGGCCCGCGCCTGTGATTCCGAACAGCGCTCTGTCTCCCTCGCACTCGCGGGGCGTCTCGCACCGGTGCGAGGGAGACAGAGCGATCGCCTGCCGTCCCAGGCGTGCCCAGGCGAGTCGTAAAGCTGTCAGGATGATCGGCTGCCATCGTCGTGGCGCTGCGAGACCGTGAGCCTCAGCCCAATCGTTATTCGCAGTCTCGCCTCCCTGCGAATAAGGCCGGCCGTGCCAATAAGCGCGCGGCGCGGCCCACCCGCGATCGGCCATCGGCCTGCGATGGGAACCACCAGTCAGGACACAATGCGCCACGCGCCTTCGCCCAAGCCTTCGCCCAAGCCTTCGCCTTTTCGGCAGCCACGAGCCGTTAGAAAGCCTTCCCTCCCGCCGGGCCGGTTACGCGCAGTGCGCGCACGGAGGCATAATAGAAAGCCTGGACGGCCCGGCAGTCCTGGCAGGACGGCGGATGGCTGTTGTTGCAGTGCAGTGCGCTGTTTCATTCGGCCAGGCTGCAGCGAAGGCAGCGCGTTGCGCGGCGCGGGGCGGCGCACGCGAGACGCGAGGACGCCGCCGAGCGCGTGGCCGAGGCTGAGGTTGGCACTGCGTTCTCCGGCCAGCAGACTGATTCCGAAAGGCGTTTTCGTCGCTCTGTCTCTCTCGCATCCTGGGGGGTGGTCACGAGTGCGAGAGAGACAGAGTCACGAGAACGACTCTTCAGACGGCGCTAACGCATGCAGACGGCGCGGCCGGTGCTTCCGGCCACTGCCAGCAGCCAGCCACCTCTCTCCCAAGGATCGTCTCTGTCTCTGTCGCACGTATGGGGTGGCCAGTAGGGGCCCGAGCGAGACAGAGCGAGAAGCGACCCTTGAGGTGGCAGGGACCGTGCCAGCCCCAGCCAGGTCGGCGTCGGCCAGGAGCTCGACGCGGACTGCGGACGGCGGACGGCGCATCGGGGACGCGGATCAGACCGCGGGCCGGCCTGGCAGTGTCGCGGCGGGGCGGGGCGGGGCGGGGCGGGGACTACCAGCACCAGCCAGCGCCGCAGGCTCCGAACAGCGCTTCGTCGTCCTGTCCCTCTCGCACCCCTACGGGACGCCCCGCGCGTGCGACAGAGACAGGGCGACGAAAGCTCTGTTCGGAATGAGCCTGCCAGCTAGCTAGTCGGCGTGCTCTTTACCAGGCCAGGGTTCCCCTAGGTTCCCCGGGTGGTAATGGCAGTGACGCGGGGACGGCCGGGGACGGCCAGCACTGGGACTGGACCAAAAAGTGGTTTCAAGCCTTTCCCCGCTGCGTGCCGCCGTGCCGCGACACTGCGAAACCTGTTTGGCGCGCGGCCTTCAGGGCCTGCACGGCCTGCACTCGCAGCAGCCAGCGCGCAGCACGCACTGCACTATGCTAGCGGACTGGCGGGCCGCACCGGACCGAACCGCACCGGACCGCGGGGCGGGTTCGCAATAGGCGCGCCGATTCGGCCGATTCCCGCGTCCGGTGCGGCCCTGCGCTGCACCGGCTGTCGGGGCTGTCGGGGCCGTGGTATACCAGGGAAGTCCAAGTCCCTCTGGCTCTCCCCGCTCGTCTGCTCGTCGCGGAGGCAGACGCAGTCCTTCCCCCTTCCCCCGCCCCACCTGTCCATCTGGCGACGCCGGCGACGCCCACGCACGGCGTTAGTGCGTTGCCCCGGCACCCGGCCCGCCCCCTCCCCGCCCCCTCCCCGCTCGGTCCAGGCGCCCAAACTGAAAATGAGTTTGGCTGTGGCGGGAAAGTCCGAGCGAATCGTAAATCCTTGTGCGTCTTTTGGTGCGTTTGCTAACGGCCTGAACCTTGTTGCAGGCTCCCTGGGGACGTCCGTCTTCGACACCGACGTGTACCTGGTCGGCGCGTCGGGCGGTGTGTACGCCCTGCTGGCGGCGCACCTCGCTAACGTCTTGCTGGTGAGTATCTCGTGGGGAAATGGGATGGGTGTTCCTTCATTTTGGGCAGCGGCAAGAGAAGAGAAGACGGCCGGGCTTGTGGCAGTGTGTGTGTGTGTGTGTGTGTGTGTGTGTGGAGGCAGCGGTGACGCCGCCGTGGAGCCATGTGAGCAGCCTTCGCGTATTTTACAGCGTATACAGCGCACCGCCCGCTGCTTGACGGCCTCCTCTGTGTCTCCGTCTCTTTCTCTCTTTGTTCTGGCTCTGTCTGTTTCTCTCTCCGACTCGCTGGCCGCCCTGGCCAAGGCCCTGGCCCCCTGGCCGCGCGGACCCTCGCCGTCCTGACTGGGTTCACTGAGTTCCGCCCGCGACAATATAACCGCCGAGACGGACCCCGGCGTCGTCGGCAACGTGCCCTTGTGGCAGGCCGAGCCTGGCCGATCCCGGCCGAGCCGAGTCGTCGGGATGCCTCATTTGGCAAGTGCTCGCTCTATATGGCGTTATACGGCTCGGCTCTGATACCGCAGCGACGTGCCGAAGCGCGCCGGGGCGTGCCAGGGTGCAGTGGAGGTGCCGACCGTGCAGACGTTCAGGTCGTGCAGTGCACCAGCGGGGGATGGCAACGCCACCGCGCGCCGCCGCGCCTTGGGAAAGAAAGTTCAGCCAAATTGGTCGTTTTGTTTTTGGAGCGAAGCCTTTCTAACCACTGCCCTTGTTTGCTTGCCTGCTTTCAGAATTACAACAACATGGAGTTCGGCATCGTCCGCATCATCGGCATCTTCGTCGTCGGTGAGTCCCCGCGTCCACGCGTTTGTTGACGGATACGCCGCGAGACGCCAAACCGCCAAACCAAACGCACGCGCGTACCGCGTCCGTCTCGCCCTCGCCCAATCTAACATCGCCTTTTGGTTTTCGTTTTCGTTGCAGCGAGCTTCGACGTGGGCTTCGCCATCTACGGCCGCTACGCCGCGGAGACCCTGGCGATGGCCCCCCTGGGCCCCGGGCTCGGCCTGGGCCTCAGCCCGGGGGAAGCCCTGGTCGGCAGCGGCGGCCTCGTCGGGGACGTGGTGGAGGCCGTGGGCGTCGGCGGCCCCCTCGTGGGCCCCGTGCTCGTCAGCAGGCCGGTGTCGTACGTGGCACACCTGGCCGGCGCCCTGGCGGGCCTCACCATCGGCCTGCTCGTCCTCAAGAACTTCGAGCAGAAGCTGCACGAGCAGCTGCTGTGGTGGGTGTCGCTGGGCGTGTACGCGGCCTGCACCATGTTCGCCGTGCTCTTCAACGTGATGAACGGGGCGCAGCCCAGCTTCACGCTGCCGCACGCCTAGCCTGCCTAGCCCAGCCTCTCGTCTACACATTTAGCTTTAACTTGACTACATTGTGAAAACACGGCCTGTAAAAAACAAGTGCATGTATGTTTGCATTTCATTGTAAGGTTTTGGCTACGACTTAGAGTTTATGTTTTTGAAGCAATTTTAAATTTTCTATTCTTCTTTTTACTTACAACTGTGACGTCAGGCTGACCTATGAAAGATGTAATTATAGTTATAATTAGTAGGAGAAAGGAGAAATATTTGTATGAATTAAAAAGATTCTAAGACTGACTGTAGATGAGCAGTAAAATGTAGTGTAGGTATTACTGGAAAATGACCACTTTCAAGTTCCTCTATCTTCAACCTTCTCATTTGAAGGTTTATCGTTTCAAGGAACTGCCTTTTCCTTTATTACTTTTGTTTGAAAATGTTTTTTTTTGTTTTTTTTTGTGTTTATAATGCCTTAGAACTAACACTGCTGCCTTAGATAGGAAGTGACAGCTGTTCTAAGAAGTAGCAGAAAACATTAAGACAATGTGTGCTTTTTCACCTGTCTTGTTCAGCCAGATTATTGTTGTACATTGAGGATTGTTTGTGCAATCTAGTCAGCCAACCAATAATAGTTTCCACTGAACAGCATCATCTTTGTAAAGTACATTCATAATTCTATCGTTTTCAAATGACATTTCTTAACACAAGAATTATGTGTGAAGCTTCAGAGCCTTATCAGGATGTGCATTTACATATAATTTTCAATGCTTACTGGTGTTGTGTGTTGTGTTTGTTCAATATTTGGTCTTACGTGATGGAAATTTAAAGTGTGTGTTAGCTTAGCTCTCTTTTGTTTTGTTCTGTAAGGTTGTGTTGTTGGGTTGTGTTGTAAATATGTTATTTTTCAGTGTATTCTGCAATTTGTAGAGGGTTTATTAAGACTTAACATTCAGCTTTCGTACCAAAGAGTTTGGTAGCGTTCGCCGTGAAATCATAGTCCACTTGTGGAACACTTTGTTCACAGTTAAAGTCATGTTGCTATTTGTTCTCTCTGTCCCTTTCTTTTTGTCGACCATTTTCTTTTACTCTAATTTGGTTTAAAAATCAATGACTGCAAGTTAGTGGCAACTAGATATTAATATTTTCTCAGAAAATAAATATTTATGTACTGTTTTGTAAGTTTTTTTTTGTTTGCAGTCTCTAACTTTGACAATAATAGTTATGGTACTTGATGCACACTTCCAGCATTCTCTCCTCAATGTCAAGTTGAATTCAATGCAGTGAAAATGTAAATTTTGTATTGCTAGTTTCTTTGGAACTGCAATCCAATATTGAGGTGAATGATTTTGTTTAACTTGTACTTTTGATTTTCAAAGTATAGTTACTCTAGTTTTGTGTTTGTTTACTTTTTCTTCTAAAAATATTATGTTTTTGGCAGTTAGGTATGAAAAAAAAATTGTAGCTGAAAAAGGACGGCTCTTCAATTTTAACTAATGAATGTAACTATCTGATAGTTGTTTTCCTCTTGTAATTTTGTTTTCTGCAAACTGCCATAAATTTGGGAGTGTGTCCCTGAAGGTATTCTTGCTCTGTATTACATATTTTGTATTTTTTGAAGCAAATATATATTTAATTATGACACCTTACTGGGGAGCATTGCCTTATTCCGTGATTGGAACCCTGATCCTTCACCGCGGCGGCAGTTTCCTACGCGCTCTGAGCCACTTATAAATACATCTCTTACAGGCTCAACCCACAAGGCCCCGCCCTGAGCTAGTAACTTATGAGTTGGAAAAATAACTTTAAATTTCTGCACAGAAATATGGCCATACATGCAGTTAAATTGTTGCTAAAAAAGGCTGTTATTCTCAAAATATCCCCCAACAGAGTGGGACTGAACAACGCATTATTTAGATTTCATTAAGGAAAAATGCAAGAGATAAGGACAACAGAGCAGAACTTGGAAACAGATTATAATTATTATCATTTAAATATAGATTTAACAATCACTTACATAAAACTAAAGGTCCTTAAATATTGATTTCTTGTAAGTCAAAATAACATCTTTCCTTAAGATTACAACATAATAATAATTTTTAAAATCAATAAATGCTAATAAACAACCAATAGGCAGAACTTGTTTCCCATTGAACCTGTTCTCAAAGGGGAAACATGCTAGAAGGGTATATAAATGTAACGTTTAAAATTTAGAAAATATACAATAGGAAACCATAATACAGTTATGCTCATGATGTGGCCACCTGCTTGAGGGGCTCTTCGAGATAAGTGGCAAGAGCTTGAGCTTTCTCTTTGAGGAGACCAAATCCTACAGTCTCTTTCGCATACAAGCACAACAAAAGACTTGCAACTTGTGTGATCGCAACCTTCCCATCCTGTAAGATACAAAGCATATAGAACAGCGCATCAACTTGTGTATCAAGGCACATCAATAAGTGTGTTAAAAAAGTAAAAATATTGTACCATGCATTCCATCAAAACCAGCCGCAGTCGGTCTTCTTTAAATGCATTTCTACCGTTCTTCTCATAAGCGGACCAGATGTTACTGCAAATTGCTGCGATGACTCTTGCATCATGATCACCATAGCCGCTGAATGCAAGAAGTGCGCCCTCATGGTTAAGCAATCTGGAAAAGAGGTAAGACAAAGAGAATTCATACACAACCTTCGCCCTACAATTGTTTGTACATAAACACATCCAACAGCATAAGGTTAGGTACAACACTTACAAGGTGTTTTCCACTCCGTTGGTGTTAGCCTGGCTAAGGACCTGTGTCAAAGCCTTAGGTCTTAACATTGTAAAATTTACCTAGGACGGCTTAACTTTAGTGACAATTGATGACAACTTTGGGATGAATCATAGAAGTTGACCGACTGTCAAAGAGACAAAAAGAGGCTCTGTGGTGGTGCTCGGTGGGTGGGAAGCTCCAGGAGTGACGGCAGAAGGGAGGAACCGAGAGGAACCCACCCATCGGCTCGGTTGCTTCGGCAGCCCTCCGAGGCTTCGGTCTTGCTTCGGAGCCTTCGGTTGCCTTCGGTATTCGACGGAACCTCCCTCGTGCCGTGCCGAGTGAGATCCGAGAGCACTGTTATCTGAGGGAGGCGTGTCGTGTCGTCAGCGTCAGCATGTCTGCTGGAGGGTGATACTGTGAGGATGCTAGCTACTCATTGTTTTCTCATCGATCATACAATCTTATCGATGATTTGCATTGAATCAGAGCAGATCTTATTGAGGGCTTATCTGGTAAACTTTTGATGTTCATTCACACTGGCCCTGGCATTCAATTGCTTGAGACAATGTGTTGGATTAACCCTTATCTCCCTTCCTGTTTTGCAGGTGTCACTACTCCCGTTTTATTTACCACTTTTATAGCTATCAATTTTTTAATGTTGTAAGAAACCCTTTGTATAAAATTTTATTTTCAAATTTTAAGAAACTTTTTGTTATGTTATCATGTTTTTGGAGTATTCTTCTATTGTGGGTCTCTCTCTTGTTACTTTTTATTTATTCCTTAATAATCAGAATGATGACCAGAAAATTCAAGGACAACTCTGTGATGCAGAAAAGTTGGTTCAGTTCAAAAGTCTACAGAGAAAGTACCTCATTGTTTACTTGTTGGCAACATTTTCTGATTGGTTGCAAGGCCCCTATGTTTACCGTCTTTACCATGAATACAGCTTTGACGATGCTGTGATATCAAAGCTTTTTTTAGCTGGTTTTTTATCTAGTTCCTTAAGTGGATCTGTTGTGGGGTACTTGGCTGACCGATATGGGCGGAAAAAATTATGCATTTTTTTCTGTTTTCTTTATGCTTTCTGCTGTTTTACTAAGGTACCTGTCACATCTGTTGCTATTTTTGACTTGTATCTGATTATTTACAGTGTGTTTGACAGGAAATACTCTGTTACAGGCATTCAGATCTGTTTGGATTCTCCTTGCCAGCCGTTTTCTCAGTGGCATTGCCACCTCTATTTTATTTTCGGCTTTTAATGCCTGGTACATCCATGAACATTTGCAACACCTTCAACTGCCACCAGAATGGATGAACATGACGTTTGCCAAGGCAACATTCTATAATGGCTTACTTGCTGTTGTGGCTGGCTTTGTGTCCAGCATTGCTGCAGATCTGTGTGGATGGGGTCCACTGGCCCCATTTATGATTGCCATACCAGTCCTTGTCCTGGCTGGTATTACTACTTTCCTGTTCTGGGAGGAAAATCGTGGCTCTGAATTGGCATCATCCTTCACATTCAAATCTACAGCCACAAAGTCTTTCCTAATAATATTTTCTCCAAAGGACAAAACTTTATTGCATGTAAGCAATCTTGATCCTTTATTTTCCCTACAATTTTTCTTTTTTTAGAAATAAAATTTAATTTTGAATTTTTCTTATTTCAGCTGGGCATGGTTCAGATGCTTTTCGAATCAGCAGTTTATACTTTTGTAATAGCATGGTCTCCATTATTACTCCCATTGCATTTCTCACTGGGGCTTGTATTTGCCGCATTTATGTTGAGCATAATGTTAGGGTCAATAATATATTCTTCAATGATATCTACTTATCACTGTTCACCTGAAAAAATGCTAAGTTCCTCAATGCGAATGGCTACAATATCAATGATGGTTGTTGCTGTCCTCACAATATCTGAGACCACGCAGCTAACTACTCAAATTTGTTACATTGCTCTCTTGATCTTTGAAGTTTCAGTAGGAATATATTTTCCTGCCTGGGGCTATTTGGCAGGACGTGCTGTTCCTGAAGACCTAAGAGCAAGTGTCGTCTCATGGTTCAGGTATGTCTAAATTCGGCACACATCAGGGGCATAAAGTTAAATAGTCTTGATATAAGTTCCCTTTCCTGTAATTTTTTTTCTTTTCTTAAATATGACTTTGTTTTTCCTTAGGCTGCCAATGAACATTTTGACCTGTGTATGCCTGCAATGGACATGGATTAACAAGCAAAACGTCAAAGCAATGGCCAGTCCAGCATCTACTTACCATTCTTCATTTGTCATGTGTGTAGGTCTCTTGTAGTTGCATGTTGGTCTAGTCAGAGATTTGCAGTGCATTACTCTCACAAACACAGTGGTTCCTCAAATGGTCTTGTTTGAAGAAGCAAGTCCAACAGTGCACATGTTTTAACTCACCAGGAGGTTATCAGCGGAAGACTGTTCCAGATCTGTGATTTACTGACATTAATACTAGTATTTTCAATTACTTTTTGTTTTTGTGGTAGGGATTGATATTTTGTTTAAATCAAGCAAGTTTAGATAGACTTGCTGTACTTGTGATAATTTGCCTCAGCCAGTATTAAACATTTGTCAAGTATGGCTGCACAACAATTAAAAGAAAATTAGGTAAAACAAAAGAGAGAGAGAGAAAGATCTTATAAATGTACACTGATTTTATTAAGAACAATTTAACAAGGAGAATTTGATTTTACAAAACCGTTGTGAATTGTATTACACACTAACTGTCTTAATAAAAAAAAAATAGGCCTATGATGTGAACATTACACAAAATGTCTTAATCCTAGAATAAAACAATAATACAAAAATACATGTGATGACTCAAAATACCATTTTTTAAAAAAAAAGAAGTAGAAAAGGCTAAGAATTGCAAGTTCACAAAAAAAGGGGAGAGAAAACAGTTCAGAACACACAGCAACAACAGTTCAATTCCATCAATAACAAAATAATAGTAAAAATTTGCTATGAAATTGTCCAGTTAAAAGATGGGCATAAATACTTCAAAATTAAATTTTCATTGAATTTCCATATTTTTAAGCGTCTGGATGCCTTTCAACAATTAATCCAACTCCCTGGAAGAGAAAGACACATTGAAAATGAAAAATGAGAAAAAAGACAAATACTGAATGAAACTAAAGAAGGTTATAATACCTGGCCGCCAGCAGCACAGGCAGCTACCAACGCGTATCTGCCTCCTTCCTTGACAAGTCTGTTTGCAGCATGGGAGACCAATCGGACACCTGAGTTTGAAATGACACAGTGTTGGCAACATCACCACACACCTAAAGGGAAGATTTTACAATGGAAAAACTTACCAGTTGCAGCAAATGGATGTCCAATACTCAATGATCCTCCCCAATTATTCCATTTTGCCAAATCAGGAACACCTACTTTCTCAGAACGGTTCATGTGAGTCTTGGCAAACCAGTCAGAATCCATTGCCTTCAAATTAGCTACGATCTGGCCCTGTAATGGAAAATTACCACATTAGTACTGCGTATTCAAGTTTGGTTTTCACTGCAATAGCAGAAGTAATACTCACAGCAAAAGCTTCATGGATTTCCCACACATCAATGTCTTTCACAGTCAGACCAGCTCGGGCCAAAACCTCAGGAATTGCATACGCAGGTCTGAAAGATTAATGGGTTAAATACCTTCACAAACTCAAACACTATTTTTAATCCACACCTAAAATTATTACCCTAGGAGCAATTGATGAACCGGGTCTTGAGAAACATAGATGTAATCTCTGAGGTAGGCCTTAGGCTTCACCCCCATCTCCTTGGCTTTCTTCTCTGGCATGAGGATTGAAGCAGAAGCACCATCAGTCTAGAAAATAACATTAAAAGATAATGCCATCAAGTCCTGGATTTGGGTGAATAAAGGGGAGAGGGGAGGGAGACCAAGTACCAAAATGATGCATTGGCAGCAGTGACAGTTCCATGAGGCTTGATGAAAGCAGGCTTCAGCTTGGCCAGTTGCTCAGGAGTCGAAACGCGGACGCCACCGTCGCGGCTAACCACCTTGGAAGTGCCAGGAACTGAGAAAATAAAAAGGAACTGGTAAAGTGTTATCTAGGTGTTGACATTGCCAGTTGTAAGTCCCACACTTACTTGGGAATGGCACAATATCGGTCAGGTATCCCTTCTCATGAGCTTCATGGGCCAGCTGGTGAGACCTTCTAGCATAGTCATCCTGTTCTTGTCGAGAGACTTGGAATGCTGCTGAAAGACGATCAGCAGACTTTCCCATGGTCTCACCTGAAGTAAACTCAGCAACAGCAGGCAACTGGGGCACATTAAGACAACCATTGTATTTTTTTATTATACACACAGTAACTCTCATCAGCTCAAGTCCTGTAACCATACCTCAGGGGCTAGGTGACTCAGACGGAACTTTGACAGCAGCTGAAGTTTCTGCAGAGGCGTTTTGGCTTTGTTCATTTTCAAGAGCATGCTTCTCAGGTTTCGGTTCAATCGAATTGGTACATCAGACATAGTTTCAACTCCTCCTGCCGCAACAACGTCGTATGCTCCACTTGCAATCAGACCAATTGCTGCAATAAAAAATCAATGCCTTAGTTAGACAGAGGATCTCAATAGTAATCAAATGATAAAAAATTCATTATGCACCTGAGGTCATAGCTTGAACGGACCCCAAGCATGCCTGAGTGACAGTGTGAGCAGGGATTTTCTCACTGAAGCCGGCACATAGAGCAGAGTCTCGGGCAATATTACTTGTCTTGACTTCCTGAATTACAGTACCGTAGACAATGTATTGCACAGCATCTCGAGGAATACCCGTCCGGCGAGACAAGTTCCTGAAAATTAAATGGACTTTGTAAGTAAGATGCAGTGCCAACAGAGGAACTGAAATGGCACTTCTGAAACTTCATTTACAAAAATTGAAAATCACTGAGAAAACTTACATTAAAGCATGACGTGCAAGTTCATGGGGCATCAACTTCTGGTAGTCTGTTCCAGAGGGAAGGAAAGGTGTACGAACTCCATCAACAAACACTATATTCTTCCCAGTCTTGTCCTGAACAGCTTTCGTGGAAGCTTGTGCAGCAAGACAACGAACTGAAACTGAAGAAGAAAATTGAATGAGTTGAAGTTGATGTGACCCATAGAAAATGAAGTTGTTGACTCGTTGAAATGAGTTATGACACTTTCATGGCCCTACTGTACATAGGAGCAAAGTTCACACAGGCCAATCCAAGCGTAATCATACATGAGCATTGAGTTGATAGTTCAGGGGAGACCTGAGAGACATACACCTTAGAAACTTAATTATTTTTTTTCCCAGCGAGCAAAATCTGAAACCTTGTGAGGTGTCACTTGGGACATATCACTGCAATGGGGTTATGGAGGCCACAGCAAAGACCAGTGGCATAACCTTTATCATGTTAGATGAGATTAAGCGAACACCAAGTATGAATGAACTGCGTTCCATGTGGGCACATGATTGACCGAAACACACAAATGCCGTCTCAGATTCGGACAGAGAGGGGGAGAGAGCTGCTGACAGATCGCGACTGCCTACACTACGAACAGGCAACTGTTGCCCATCTACGCGGTACTCACCATTTTTAATCGTTAACAACGGGTTTGGAGAAGCCCGGGCAACGCCGAATGCCACCTGCATCGCCATTTTCGGAGAGGTTCAGACTGGCGTGTTCACCGGCAGCTGCGACGAAACGATACTGTCTGCAAAAGCTCCCTGTCGCTGTCGACCTATGAACATTGCCCGCCCCACCAGCCGACGACACGCCGACGAGCCACGATTTTGCACAGTGTAGGGCTGCGTCCGAAAATGGATCTTCTCGAACGCAAAGCCCCGCCACAAACATTGCCAACTGTTATTGATTAAATTGAGGTCACTGTTGATGGAAGCAGTTAAAACCGCGTCAACTTGGCTTGTTGTGGGATTATTTGGAATGTTAAAATTGCACTTCTCTTCGGGAATGCCCTTCACGCCGAAGATAAAAGCTGGGAAAAGATGTTTTCCAATTTTTCAACTGTTCAACACAACACATGAATCTCTCATACTCCTTTCCTCTCCCCTCACAAACGGAATCATAACAAACACAAACACAAACTAGCCTGCAATTCGATGTTCAGTACTTCACAGTGCACACTGCACCACACCACATTTTTCTCTCTAACTTCTCGTGCATCAATATCAACCACAAGTGCCTTTCGCATCATGCGAATTTTCTCAAGTTCTCGTAGAAATGAATTATTTATTTGGCTCCAGGATTCTTTATAGAATGAATCTGTGGCATCAAAATATTGATGTCAACTTGCAGTTGAAACTTTAGAACTTCTGCAACCTGTTATAATATTTAAAGAGAATGGCTCTTGTATCTTATGTTGATATTTTGGAGGTTGTTGGTGAGCTGAAAGATTTTAAAGCCAAACTTGTTGAAGGAGAAAAAATAGCTCAGAAAAATGGCATTTCCAAGCTGGCTGTTAATGAGAATACCAAAGGGGTATTCGACATTTCAGCTTCATGTCAATCGTTAACGGAGGACACTGCCTTTGATGTTTCAATCTCTGTTGTATGTGAGCCCCGTATTCTGGATTGCAAATGCTCTTGTCTGGAAGGAAAATCAGGAAAATGTCAACATGTTGTAGCAACGCTAATGCACATTCATCGGTAAGCTGGTAGTTTAGACTGACAGTCTTTTCTCTGATGACGATATTACAATTTTCTCATTGTTGAGTATGTGTAACTGTTTCCAAAAGAAATAACTGGATAATCCTTCTTTTTTTCCTCTAACTAGGAGCAATATTTCTGCCGAGACTCTCAGTTATACAGATCCTGGAAGTATTGAATGTGTCAGTAGCAGTAAACCAACCAACCAGGTAACATAAAATCTTTGTCTATGTTTGTATCTGTCTCTCACATGATCGTTGTAACACGTAACAACTTATCCCTTTTCGAAAGCAAAATGCTGAGGAAACTACCATTGAGATGGACACAGATCCACCGAGAGACGCCATTCAGACAAAGGAACAGACCACTGAAGAACTTGATAAAGAGGGACCCGGAAAGCACATTTCAAACTCTGATAGCAATGGTAACAGAGAACTAAGGTATGGAAGAAGTTAAAAATAATAATAATAGTAATAATAATAATTTTCATTACCCTTTAAAACATTATGCTCACTTTTTCTTTTACTATAGACTGGGACGAGGTCAAAGGAAAGTGGCACCGAATCCTAAATATGTATCTGGTGAGTTGAATCTTTAGCTCTAAAAAAGTTTTCTCTCTGTTTTGTGATGTATTATTTCTATTTATTATTTAATATTGTTTTGAAATTTTTAGAGACTAAAAGATTTTTATGCCAAGTGTGTTCAAAAGCATTTGGAAAGAAAGCACATTATGAAGAGCACTTGCGTAGTCACACTGGTGAGAAACCATTTGTGTGTGATGTTTGTGGTCAGCGTTATTCTCAGAAACGATCACTTGCAAAACACATGAATATCCATAAGGAGGACAAGGAAGAGAGCCAAACTAATCCTCCGTTAGGCACTCCTGGAGTTTTGAAACCACTTCCTCTTGTAGAGGATGGGCTTGTGGAAAGCCAAGCTCCAAAGAATCCTAGTGAAGATGTGCGAAAAAGTGACGGTGAATTCACTTGTGAAATCTGTGGCAAGCAATTCAAAAGACTTACTCATCTTACTCAGCACAAACGGACTCACATTGATGATAAACCTTTCAAATGTGGTGAATGTGGTAAAACTTTCAGCCGTGAACGTACATTTAAAGCACATAAACATAAACCTGACGGGAGTCCTGCCTCACCACCAGCGCCTAAGACACGTACCGTAACCACGTGTGAAGTATGTGGAAAAGAATTCACTAACCGTGTGCACCATGAAGAGCATATGAGAAGCCACACGGGTGAACGTCCATTCCAGTGTGTCGTGTGTGGGAAAGGCTTTGCTTCCAAACGTTCACTGCGCAATCACAGTCATGTGCGAAAAAGTGAAAGGGACCGTCCTCATATGTGCTCTCTGTGTCCTGCATCATTCACTACAGCATTCATGAGGAAAATTCATGAACGAGGGCATGCAGATGAAAGACCGTATGTCTGTTCTGAGTGTGGTAAAGCCTACCGTTCACAGCATGTGTACCAGGATCACCTTAATCAACATAAAGGCATCAAGGCTCACACATGCAAAGAGTGTGAAAAGTCTTTCACTTGGCGCACATCCTTATGGGTCCACATGAAAGAACATGCTAAAGAAAAGCCGTTTGAATGCATTCAGTGCGGAGAAAAGTTTTCTGTACAATCAGAATTGAAAGATCACTGGGTGGTGCATTTGAATGACAAGCCCTACCAGTGCTCTGAGTGTGGTTTGGGTTTCATGCTTGAAGCTGATCGTGACAAACATGTTGAAATTCACAAGCAGTCCCCTTCCTACTCCTGCACAAAATGTGATGAGAAGTTTCTCTGGGCTCATGATCTCAACAGACACCAGCAAACACATGCTGAAAAGAAGAGGAGCTTATGCCCAACATGTGGTCAAACCTTTTCCAGTAAAGGCCACTTGAAAGTGCACATGCTAATACACACTGGAGAAAAACCTTTCGAGTGTGCCACATGTCACAAAAGATTCTACACTCGTAGCCTCATGAGAAAGCATGAAGTATTTCATTCAGATGATCGCCCATTTGAATGTGTTTTGTGTGGGGACAAATTTCCTACCCAAGGTATCTTAAAAGCTCATGTTAGAACACACACTGGTGAAAAACCTTTTACATGTGAAAAGTGTGGTAAATCCTTTCCTCAGAGTTCTTACCTCAAGCGTCACATGCTTACACATACAGGAGAGAGACCTCACCCATGTCCAGAATGTGACAATTCATTCACCTCTCGTTATGACCTTAAAATTCATCTGCGAACTCATACAGGGGAAAAACCTTATTCTTGTGATGAATGTGATGAGAAATTTTACGAACGTGCGCATTTAACAGCTCACTTGCGAACTCATACAGGTGAGAAGCCTTATATTTGTGATTTGTGTGGCAAAGGATTTAATAGCAGTAACCATATTAAAAAACATTTTGTCCGTAATCATCCAAATGTAGCCCCATTCAAGTGTACTGACTGCCGAAAAAGATTTAAGATGTGTGAGGCATTACGTAAACATAGAAAAAGTGCTCATCTTTCAGGAACAGAAGAGGTAATTGATTTGAGTGAAACCAGTAATGAGGAGCATAGCCGACATAGTCAAAGTTCAGACAGTAGGGATCCACTCAAACGCCTCATTCGTGAAAGTGAAATTCTAGATGATTCATCATTGGATCCTGATGATCCACCAATCCTCTCTCCAGAGTATGAGATAGTGCATGTAAACCTGGTAGATTCCTCACATATCTTAAAACTCCCTGCTGGGTTTCGATGTGAAACCGTACAGGTTTATCAATCTGACCCTATGTGTAGTTTTGAAGACAATGGCGAATTTGAAGCAGTCACCTTGACTCCTCTACCAGAAGAAATAGAAGTATCTGACCCATCTTCCCCTATAGTGGTAGATGTTTAAAAAGGATTTAGGCCAATAGCCAAAACTTGATAAATATGACTTTCATGCAAAACGTTGTGGATGTATTGATGTGAGAGAATGTTTTGACATTTAGTGAATAAACAACTTAAAAATAACTTTGATACAACAACTTTTATCAAACTCTGAAAAGTTAAGTGTTAAAAAAATACATTCAAAACCTTGGAAAAAAGAACATAGCCATGCTGCTCAACACCACTAGTCAAAGAAAATAAATTCACAGCATCTTAAGCTTTAAATGCAGCAATTCAACATATAACAGAAGAAACAGCAAATCACATTGAAATATCAATAGATAAATTCAAAGAATGTCTTTTTAACAATAAAACACTTCCAGAAGAAGGAGGATTATTGAAATAGATGTCACTGACAATACGTATTTTCATTTGTTAAGGAAACCCTTTGGCTTGTCTTTTATCTGGGGTTGCACAGATATTTGTGGCACATGACTTGCAACTCTGGTCAATTGTTCCTATTGCCAGAAACTAGTACACAAACTCATCTGAGTTTCAACCTAGGAAATAACTTTAAAAACTAAACACACATCATATCACTAATAAATGTTTTGTCTTTCATGTCCCGTGAGATATCAAAAAAGGATTGACAAAGAAATTCAAACAAAGGACTGCATTGCTGCAAAAAAAAAAATGTAAACAGCTTGACTCCATGAAGTGGAATGATAATGATTGAATCTTACCTTACATCACTAAGCAACAACAAACATCACAAATTGAGGAAGGCACTTGCATTTATCATGAGCTACCCAAGGTACATAAACATCACAAGTACATTCAAGTCAACAACAAATTTTCATGACTCCATTCTGATGCAGAACACATGTGGAATTGGAAGATAACTACAAAAAGTATGATACACTAGTCAACAAGCAAAACATCTTTCTCCACACTTTCACATAATTAGTTAAAATTGGCAGTCTTCTTAAATGGAAGTGATCACAGCAAAGTCTCACAGCATTTTACTGTGATTGACAATTTACATCCAAGGAGTAGCTGGCAGTTAAAATACCATATTTCAACTAGGATACTGCTCTTAGAATTAATCAACAATTAGATAAAATTTAATCACATTCAAACTTACTACAGAAGAAAACAACACCATATGGAAAATTCCCTTATTGACAAACATCCGTGTATATATCAGCTAAACTGCTGATTTGATTTCTCAAGAATAATTACTGATGATAACTCCTAATTGTCTGCTTATTTGGTCCAGGTACTTTGACTTCAAAGGCAGGAAAAATGTCCGTTCTGCATCGACTGCTTCACACTTCAAAAAGAAAAAGACCGTAATAATTAGAAATTTTCCTTAAAACTCACACTTTTTATGAAGAAGAAACATTTGAGAAAACTTACTGAAGGTGCTGACACATTGGCAGAAACACTAATCCTAGGTGAACCTAAATGTTTTATTTGCTTATCTCTGAATTTAGGAAGTAAAGGAAGTAAGTGACCTTCTGTTGAGAAAATATAATTGCCATGATTCTTATTCACAAAGTTTTCTGTATCAAATAGCTGCAAATTAGAACAAGAATTAATACCAGAGCATGCATAAATAATGTATGCTAGAGTTCCTATCAAATACAGTGCAGCACTTACGAGAAATAAATACTTGCAGGTTTCACTGAGGAAAAAGCTTTCCATTCTATCTTCAAGACTGCGGTCTAGAACACTATGGACTGTAGCAAAGCCACATGTTGTTCTGGTAAGACTGTTTAAACTGTTCAGAATATCTTTCCCAACATGAAGATAAAATGGGCTCCTTGTAGCCTGATGAAAAAATGAAAAAAAAATTGGTTTTCCAAACATTTTTGGCATTTATATATAAATAAATGATTTGAAATCAAGATATTGATACCTGATACAAAAGATACGTGGACTCAATGAGCTCTGGACGAAGAGGATAGAATGCCACATCTGCAGAAAGTTGCTGCCAATTCCAACGTTCAGGCAAAACACCATAGTACTTCCAAATGAAATAGTAAAGTGCATGTGAACAGATAGCTTCTTCTACATCTCCATGGAGAACTTGAATGCCACTGAATGCTGCTTGGAGACTGTCAATCCATGAAGTATGAACATCGCCACTTTGCATGTCGACATTCACATACAAAGGGTGGTCTCCCTCACCTTTATTGCAGTGAGGACGTCTAGAAAAGAAATATAAAAAGTGTCAAATTTTATTTGAGAGAAATGAAGGTATTCCTTGAAAGAAATACACAACTTCAACTCACCCTCTTCGCATATACTGTTTAATACTTGCATATGCTTCAGAAAACATCTTGTAGTCATCCTCTTCACCAAACATAATGTAAGCTTTGAGGAGGTACTCGTAAAATGAATCCAAACCTGCACCAAGACCACTTAAGCGCCCTATCCACTGTCCAGACTCAGCATTTATAACATTCCCTTAAAAAAAAAAAAAAAAAGGAAACAATTTTATAAGATAAAGAGTAATTTTGCACATTCAATTCTCTGCACATCAACATACCAAGGAGGCCTGTTGTTTTTGACCTCAGATTCCAAAGTGTCCGGCTTGCTTTTCTCGCATGGTTTTCATAGATAGGATCTTTAAGTAGACGACTTAACAAGCCAAATTCTACAACTAATGAACCTGCACCAGCTGTGCAAGTTTCAACGGATCTTGCTGCAGCGCTAGTTACTGAGCCTCTTCCATGACGCAAATTCACTCGAGGGTAGGGTATACCTGTGCCACTCTCAGTAAATGCTGGTAAAAGGCGGTTAGCCAGGTCTCGAGCAAGATGTAATAATTCATCTTTGTACCATGGTGGTTTAAGCTGCCCCAAGGGTTGTGCAGGATCTGTCATTAACATGTGAGCAGATAGAAGAGCTCCAAGAACCCTGAGACAGAAAATTCAAAAACCAATTAGTCAATACCACTGGTGATATTAAAACAGTAAATGAGTGGAGTAATGAGATAAGGAAGACTCCTACCGGATATTTACTTCAAAGACTTGTACAACATTATCTTTATCAAATGACACATTGTCAATAACTCGTTCCACAGCTCTTTGAAACTCAGAGGCATTTCCCAAGACAGCTAGAGTGTCAAGAGAGTCGACTAATGTCAAACTGTAATCGCCTAAAATATCGTTGATGTTGATATTGGACCTACAACAGTGTACAGTCAAATATAAGGCATCATTAAACGTTATCATGGCAAGCAGCTTGTAATTCAACAAGGAGATGGTCACAATATTCCATTTTTTAATTCGAACACTGAAAAATGTTTTAGGAGCATAATTATCATTAGTTAATAGGTCAATAACATAACCTCAATGTCTTTTGGGCAGCAAATGTCAAATGTCATACTTACGGATTGGCATAGTCGGGGCCTCTTCCAGTGCACATTATTGGATTCAGCTCGTCCATCGGGAAAGCATGTTTCATGTAATTGTTGTATCCAAAATAAAACATTTCTCTGGCTTCTTCCCTGAGCTGTAAGCGAAGTTCCTCAGGGAAGGAACCGTACTTCTTTTCCAAATCATCTAACGGTTTTCTAAATATGTCTAAACTACTAATGAGCGTGACATGAAAACTGAAGAAAACTAGACTAGTCCCAAAATACATCATTCTCAGGATCTTTTATCGGCACGACCTGCGCTTCATGATGATGTGTCAACTACGCCAGCGGGCAGCGCCAGATGCAAGTTTCAAGATCCTTTCACGTCGAGTAATTCCAATTCCCTGTTTCTCGATGGTCAATGCGGCCTGCGTCTATGGAAGGGAACTGCGACAAATTGATTCAGTCGCCGCCGCTTTGCAAAAGCTTATTAATGAGCATACAAACTTAGTACAACAAAACTTAGAACTGATCACAGTATTTGATTTTCCCTCTCTCGAGAAGGTGAACGTGAAACTTTATTGCTATTGGTTAGTACAGCTACAACTCACCAGAGGGCGCTAGTTGTCATGTTGTTCAAAATGGCGGAGAAAACAGGCCTGTTGACGTCGTGACGTGTTTGTTGCTGGGACTTGTCGACAATTAGGTCACATCAAATTAATTTGGCCCTGCTCTGCCGGCCCAACCCCGCTGCCTGGAGAATGCTTTCGAAAGACGCGCACTTTGCCCTCTCTGTTTTATGACGAAGGGCTAGTGGTTATCGAAGGCACGCAAAACCACTGACGGTAAGAGACGTGTGTTTGTCAATTTTGACAAATTTGTCCCTCCTGTGTTTTGAACACTTTAAAGGATGAATCATGTACATCTTTATCGTTTCAATTACCGCTTCGTTCTTTTGTGACCGTGCACCATGCTTCGTATCCTGTATTCTGTCATCTTGCACACTTTCTCTCACTTCACCATGGAATGAATGAAGGCTTGTCACTCTCATGCTGGCTCCAGATCATGTTCCATCTTCTAAGCTACCCCCAAATTAAGCAACTCTGTCCTCGTAGCAATTCCCTTCATAGAAATTTTGCACTTTTTTATTGGGGTTGAGTCTTGATTGATTTTATTGTTGCATCATGTATTCTTAATCAACATTTGTTTGACATTTATGTGCCGAATGTCCATTCATTTAATTCATTCAAACAAAAGCTCTGTTTCATTCGGATATACCAGCAAACAATTCATATTCTTCTCTCCTCTTATCTCAAGAAACTTTCCTTTTATCATATATTGACATATTGGTCGCTCACCTACTTCCAAAATTGTGTCGGTAGGTCACTGTCCAATAAAATTGCTCCCGTTCCGCAAAATAGGTTGTCACTTTTCCTCTGAACTTCACACATTTTCTTTCATTCAAGGTAATTGTCTCATTCAGTACTAAACTAGAAATAGGCATCATATCTGTTGCAAATATATTGAGAAACACACTATCCTATGTTATTTTGTTATAGTTATCCGTTTATGGAACTCAGCTTATCAACTCGTACATTCTATCAATCTTGTTTTGTGTTTCAACTATTTTGGTAAATAACATAATGTAAATAAACTATGGAAAGTATTTTAGTAAGGATATTATCAATGCCAGAATGTACGAAATTATAAGTAAAGTTCATTTGGTGAAATGTAGAACGTAAATATTTGGTAGTGATGTCGTGGCTTGACCTGCATAGCTGATAATGTCAATAGAATTTTCTAGAACCTTAGAATTTATAGACTAATTGGGTGTGGTATCCCAGCAGTGGATTTCCTTGTTCCATGATGGGTCGCAGAAATTCTAACAAGATTCTGCAATGGCGAAAAAGATGGTGTCACAGGTAGTTTATTGTGATGTGGATTAATAAATAACTGGGACCGTATGGATTCACATGTTTCAGAACTTCCTTTGATTTAACATGATTTTAATCTAATCTAAATATGAGTCATTATTATTTCTACATAAGTCATAAAAATGTCATAAAGTGATGAATAGTCAATTATTGAGAAGATTTTTGAAAGTTTATTCTCAGTATTTGTCTTATGTTGTTTAAATAGTATGCTTTCATGTCAGTGATTTTCATTAAGTGTCTAGTAACCAGTAATTTGCATCTTGTAGTGAAACTTGTTGTGAGGTATCCTTGGTGTAAAATAGCTAGTTTTTCTTGATATGTCCGATGAGGTAAATGTTCACTTTGATTTGTACAAAATTGCACTGCTCTGTTTCTTCTGTGTGTCTGTGTGTGTGTGTGTGTGTGTGTGTGTGAGTGTATGTATGTCTATATGTCTGTACATCTCATGGTTTGTCTTTTATTTGCATGGTTTTGCAAGCATTGTCTTGCAAAATTATTGAATTATTGTATGTTTTCTTCCTTTTAACTTTACAATTATTTTTACCCCAGTAATATCCCATTTTTCTAACAGTTGTGTGTTTGTAGCCTGTGTGTTGCAAGGAATCATTTGAAAGTGCTCATATTTGCTGGTTGTGAAATTGGCATACAACGCCAAGTAAAATCAAATTCATAAATCTGACAAATTAACTAAGTACAATTTTAAATATGCTGAGATTCTTTTAGAGAGTGCACCCAAGCAAGTTCCGATCTAAGCAACCCTTATATCTTGCAGCATGGCATGGCATGGTGTTTCAGTGGCATTTTTCTTGTTTGTTCTATGAATGTTGCATTATATTGTTTGCATGTATTGTACTTGTACTTAAACCAGAAATGAAGACAGCTACTACTGGAAGTGAGCTAGAAGTTCTGGCATTATTAAAAGCCTGCATACATGAGATGTGGCTGTGGGTTTGGCCATGATTCATTAGGAATTGATTGGTAGTTCCCTATGCCTTGAATTCTACTTACAGGAAATAATGGACTTTATATGAATCAAAATACATTTATGTTTTGGCCCTGGCCCTTATGTCAGAATTTCTATTTTCACCATGAACTTTTATTGTCTTTGTATTAACAACGAAAACTAAAAAATTGAAACATGGCCTGTGTTTTGGTTAAGACTGTGATCGCTGGATATGATTGACAGTGGCATTGAGGGTTGGTGGCAAACTTCATTTCGGACGAGCCCTCCTCGGCCGTTGTCTCTGGTCACCATGTCGGTGACACTAATGGCTGCATCATGCGATTCCATTGGTTCCTGCTCTCTGGATGTGGACGCTGAGTCACTTGCTGATTCTACTCAAGTTGATTCATCAATTAATCGACGCAATGCAGGTAGCAAGGGGTGTTGTGTTGCCTATTGTTTTAGAGTTTATTTAATTGTTAAATTTTCTCTAGTTTTTTTCTTATGATTTATTTATATTTAGTTTTAAGAGTGAGCAGTCATTGTTATTCAAGATAAACAAATTTTAGAACAACAATTGCCGGCTCATTGTTTATTTGGTTTCCATAGATCTGTTTGTTTGCTTAGTTTTAACCAATTAAAAAAGGAAACTTTTTATGCAACGGGCATGTTTTTTCTATGGAGTACTCAATCTGTCTACAGGGTCTGCCCCCTCAACGTCTATCAGCAATTCTCAATCATTATAACATACCACTTTCATCCATTCTCATTAGTACACTATTTAATTCCCCGATTCATAATGAATTTTTATAACATATTTGATTTGTTTGTGTTGTGAGTGACCTTCATTAATCATTTCTAAATCATTTCTTTTTATTAAGTGTATCTTAGTAGTGTAAAATTGATCCTGCTTAATTTTTTTTTATGTATTTTTATGTTTATTTGTTTTAATATAATAATGTCAAAAGACTTACTGTAGTTACAGTAGGCTACCAAATATGGTACTTTTTTTTTTTTTTTTTTAAATCCACAGTATTGTGGACAGTTTCTCAATGCTTATGTTTCTCTTTTTTTTTTTGCAGGTGAGCTTCAAGCAAATGCTCCATCGCTTTCAGAGCAGACTTTGCATAGCTTGCTGTTGTCTGCCAGCACAAATAGTGCTGGGCAAAATTCAGAAAACGTTGACAAATCTCAAACCAATTTGAGCATCCCTAGTCCTTCAACAGCAAAGAAGCCATCATATCTTAATCTAGCTTGCTCGATCAGTGGCTATGGTGGAATTACTACTTATGACAGTAAGCTGAGAGAAGGATTTCGATCAAGAGACCACAGTCCGGGGAAATTAATGAATGTCCAGAACGGTAGTAGAGAAGCCAGTCCCGCACGAGTATTGGGTGTTGGTTCTGTGAGTTCAGGCAATTTTTTGACTGCACCAAATTCAGGACGAGGGTATTGGTCAACAAGCCCTGGTCAACTGTCTGAAAGCAACATGAAGCATATGTCCTCAACCTATGGAGGTGTTCAACGTATCAATGGCACCAATGGAACCAATGGTACTGATCAAACTGATGCAACCGGGAATTTCAATGTTAAACGAATCTCAGACCAAAGAAATCGCTGGTTGGAATCCACCCTTTCGCCCTCAGAAAAGAACAATGACTACCAGAAAGTTTTATCTGTCATTGAGTCTAAGTCTGAACGGCATGGGTTCAGGACAGAGACATCTATGGAAACAAGATATGAATTAAATTCAAGATCTCGTTCCACTGTTGTGAGCTCTACATCTGTCACTTCCTCAAGCTCTCATCCTCAACAATACTCAAGCTCTATTCGATCTGAGAGGATAATACCTATGTCCATTGGTTGGTATTGTTTTAGTGGCATTATTTTTACATGGATGTTGCTTTACCACTTCTATTATCTAATGGTCTTTTTTTTTTCTTAATTAAAAAATAATAAATGTAGAGACAGATTCTTCTTTGGACCGTTACAGCAAACTTTCAGGTTAGTCATGTAACTATTAGGTATTATTAATTATTCATCACTATTTTTTCTTTGACCATTAATTTGTTTTTGCCCTTTAGACAAGAAGCAAGGTTATACAAATGGCTCAGCTTCTCACCAGACACCTGTATCTTCTAAGTCCTTCATCCAGCAGCGCGTTGAAAGGCTCTATGGGCCTTGTGCCTTAGCCCAGGGCTTTTTTCATCGCAGTTGCAAGGTATATTTGACTCTACTCAGCTACAGAGCTATAATTCCACCATGCTTCACCACTCAGCACCATTCCTGCTACCACTACTGATTTTCACATTATTGCTGTTGCTCATAGCAACTGACAATGTGTCAACTCTTCCTTATGCCCTTTCAAATTCATATTGCAGAGCTCATATTCTTTTTCGCCTAATCTACATGGAGCAAATGGTGTCAGCAACCAAACAAAGCCTGAAGAAAAAACAACTCCTGATAAAACAGAGGACTCTCCTGAGTTGCCAGTTCTGAGACATCTGCGTCCTGAGTTTCGCGACCAGCTAACTGTTGCTCCTCGTCGAAGTTTAGGATCAAGGTAAAATCACAGATTTACATTGTGATCAACCTCCCCAGTGATATCATAATCCCTATTATCTAATCTTGACCTTGCACAGATTTTCTGATGGCTCTACTCCTTCTCCATCAAACTTTTCTGCACCTGGTTCAACTGTCCGTAGTGCCAAAGTGGAAACGTTGCACACTGTTGAACGACTTCAGCATCAGACATCTACAGAAAGCTTAGCTGACCTTCAGCCAGCCGCTCCTGAAGTTGTTCTGCCCCAGCAGTCTCCCTCAGTTTCCCCAATGTCCAAAGAGGTCAACACTCCTGTGGTCTTGACCACGGGAACTGCCGACATTTCAAATGTGGTTCCGGTAGAAGAATCTAAATTCTCCTCCAAACCTCAGGAAGAACCCTCTTTATCCACTGCACCTCGTGTTCCAATATTGGAAGAAAATGAAGAGGAAAATGCCGGCCACAAATTCCTCAAAGTAGGCTATACTTACGTATTTTTGCTTAGCTCATCTTTTTCTTCCAACTCCAAATTTTTAATCTCACGCAATTTCTCAATTAGATTCAGCGTCAAACTATCGAAAAGCTCTTAGAATTAGCTGCAAAAGCTGAAAAAGAAATAGAGGAAAATGGTTCGACTCTTTCAGAAGAAGCTCTTGGGCACCTTAGGGCAGCTGCCGGGCAAGCAAGGTTATTGGTTAACCAAAAAATGGTGCAGTTTGAAGGACTTTGCCGCAAATGCATAGTATGTTGCAAACTTTGTGGTGTTCACTCAGTATCATTTAAAATTGGCTAAGCTCTAAACAGAATTTGTTACTTTTTTGTTCATGCAGAACCAACGACCTGAAGAACAATTCCCTACTACCCCAGAGGATCTTCAAGGATTCTGGGATATGCTGCTGTTGCAAGTCGACCAGGTTCACAATACCTTCCATCGTCTTGATAAACTTAAGGCAGTTGGGTGGTGTGAGGTCAGTGCACATCAAAGTCTGAATGCATGTAACAAGTTGGTTAAGGAATTTATCTTATAACACATCTCTTCAACCAACAACCTTTTTTCTCTTGTTAGGACAAACTTGCAGCTGAAGACAAACCAAAGTCAATTGATAACTCAGGAACTCGCACTCCCAGCTCAAGTAGCAAAAGAACAACTCGCACTCCTAAAGCTTCTACACCTAGTGCAGCAAAGTCTGCTGAGGCAGCAGCATTGAGGAAGCAGCGGGAAGAAGAGCGGCGCAAGTTAATGGAACAACGAAGAAAAGAATTGAAACAAAAACAGCAAACTGGACAAGAGTCGTCTGAATCTGAAAAAACCGTTGAAATATTTGGTGCAGAACTTAGCTAAGAATGGCTGTGCGCCATGGCGCACTTTTTTCATTGCATTGCATGCTTAGCATCAATAAATTAGGAAAGAAAATTCAAATTACTGTCCATAATTTAGTTGAAAAAATAGTTTTGCTAAAGTTTTTAAAGTTTCTGAAACAAAGTTGTTTGTTTTATTTTGACATAAGTAGGATATAAAAGAAAAGTTCTCCTGTTATAGGTTGTCCTAACTTAATGGCAAACTTGCATCTTGACCTCTAGAATCTCATCTGAACCTTGAGAAGGGCATCATGTATGGAAGTTATAGAGGCTAACATCACTTACAATTATTTCATCAGGTTATAATAGTTATTTGATCTACATAAAACTCGTGCTTTAACCATCTTACTAAAAGGCTAAAACGGTTTATCCATTGCTATTCATAAGTGGTGAGGGTTTTAAAAAAATATCTAGACAAAACTTGTAAAATGCAACAACAGGCTAATTTTGGGAATCGATGGGAAATTGATCTTTGCTTTAGATAAATGAAACACAAGAAAACAAGCCTTTTTTTTTTCAGTGTCATATGCTCTTTGACTAATTTGCTGCAATTCAAATTAGATTTGATTGATTGTTGCAGTCATATTCCATGCCATGCTGGTTTGGCCAATGGCTATCATATGGTTGCATGTTACAGCGACAGTTGAATGAGTGAACTTTGAGACAGTAACTAAGATAAATAGCTGGCTTCAACTCATGGTTGTATTACTGCTCGTATTACTTCTAACAATGTAGCACAAAAAATCTTTGAGAGTTCTCTGGTTTTGACAGCTTTCTCCCAGAATTCAGTTTGTTTTTTAGATTGCAGAATTGCAGATATAACCAAATGTACGAACCGGTGTAGGTATTTACTTTTAATTTTTCTTTTAATTTTCTGTGTAGATCCAAAATGTGCTACTTGGTAAGCTGTTTATAAGACTCTAATATTACCAAAGTTATGAATGTCTGTTGAACCTAGTTCTCCTATTTAAAATATTTATATATATATATATATTTGAATGATTATGACTGTTTTTTTCCTTTATTTTAATGTTTTGATATATTTATGATTGCAATGGTACGTTCTCTGACTGTGCTGCTTATTTAGCAAGCACCCTTGCAGGTTGACACTGTTAAAACGCTTCTACTTTTGCACATTTGTCTACGTTTATTTGGTGTTTAAATGTAGTGTCACATACCTTTTTCGTTTTTAATATGTTTTCTTGCTATGACCAAATTAACTTGTGTGAAGAATGGAATGATCAACAATTATCATTCTCTTTCCATCAATCAATTATGACTGATATGTCGGCTGTTGGGTGTTTTGTGTCCTCTAACGTGATGAAGAGTTGATTTTTGTATTTTTAATTTATGCACTATTTATATATTTATACAATTTAGAAGTCATTTATGCATGTTGAGCACTTTACATTGATATGTGCATCTTTTGACAGTATTTATTTCGTTTCTTCCTTCCATTCTTTTATTTTGTCACAATGTTCTTGTGTATGATGCAGTTTTTCATTTTTATTACACTGCGAGCCACAAGATTGACTGATGAAGTTCTTATCCAGTACAAATTGACAATTTTCCTGTTGAATTGCATGAAAATCAAGAAGTGAGAATGCACATGGACTTCAGTCTGATTATTTATTAATTTTATGGTCTGATTTAAAGTGTCATTTGATGTGTTACATTCCTTAGTTTGCCAGGTATTGCTTTTACTATCAAAGAATATCCAGCGTTACTGAGAAACTTAGACCGTATGGAAATTAAAATCAAAATGTAGTGTTGTAGCTTTAATTGAGAAAGCAGTGTGTTCCCAGAGTGCAGGATACTTTCACTACCTGCACCATGAAACTGAACACCCCAATAACCTGATGTTTATGTTGCATGATTTCTTTGTAGCAGTATCCAGCTATCAGAAGCCATGTAACTCATCCATAAGTTTAGTTTGCATGGCAGGACACTGTCAATTACAGTAGTAGATTCAGAAGTCTTTTTGGCATCTTGTTCTTAGGAGCCAACTGCTCAATTACAACCTTTCCATACCATAAGCAGCTCATTTAAAAAAATGTATTTTATGATCTTATGTCTAGATTGCTTGTTAAAAATTGAATTAGTTGCTAGAACAGAGGAGTAGTGTTTTAAATCATCAAATCTAGAGGGTTTGGCCTTGATTCTCATTTCAGTGATAAAAATGCTCAAACAGTTGACTGTTGCTTGAGGCAGGCTTTTAATGACGTGATTACATTTTACCCTAAATTTTGTGAGTGTTTGATTTGATTTGGTATTTAACATTGTGTGCTAGATTTCTACTAAAATTATGTATGAGTTGATCACTTTCTAGGTGTGCTAAGTGTAGTTGGGGCAGCCTGTAGCAATCAATGTGTTCTCTTGAAATTTAGCTTGATATGTTTCAATTTATGAGGGACCCAAGCCTTACGTCCATCATCCACCAGTATTTTTAAGGAGATGCTCTCTAATGATTGGGTTGGGTGAGAGATATTTACTTTTTTAAGACGTAAGACGAACAACATAAAGCTATTTTGTGACAGATTGATAGGTTTAGACTTAGGAAGGAAACCTCACTATGATGGATTTTCCAGCTCTGAATAGTGAGTGTCAAGGGCTCTTATCTGCTTTAAGGACATTCCTGTAACACATTTAACAAATTTTGACCAAACATAATTGAGTTGTGGTGCTTGTTTTGTATTCAAAGCTTTAGTAATTTCTCACCATTGTTGCACCTGATGTGCACAATAATATCTAACAATAACATGTATTTACAGATTGTGGTTTGTATCTATTTTGCAGATGTATTTTTAAAGTATGATGGATCCTTAATTCTTCATCTGTGGGAAATATCTATAGAGGATCTGGTGCTACCAAACACTTTCAAGACAACTGCCATGTACTAGGAGCTTGTACCCTTGCTTAACTTCCCAATAAACTATGACCCATTTATCATGCATTTCTTTACACCCTTCCAGGACAGAAAAATCACCATAAATGTAGCTTAATAATTTACTTAAAACATATGGTAAAGAACAAATAAATACAGAACAGACTTTTTGATTGCAACATACTTAAATTAATGTTTTTATCATGCCAGCAATAGTGTCTGGTTCTTAATAAGTTTCTTCAGGTACTTCTCTTAATCCTTCACTATGGTGGCCTCTATCGATCATTTCAAGCATAGCCTTTGCACCACTATCTTTGTCCAAAATGCTTCTTTTGTTACCATCCTGCAAATAGCCAATTAAAATGATTTAACTGACACAGAAAAAATAAAACTTACAGGGCAGTTTAATTTTTCAAACTGCCAACACTTACTGTTTCATCATCTGAATCCTCTTTGGGTGGAGGCCCAACAGCCCATATTTCTAAATGCTCTATGGTGTATTCTTTTTCAGCTGATAGGGTAGGAACCCGTTGATAAGTTGAGCAGCCTTCACTTGAGTGTCCTTTCCCAAAATCAGCATCAATCCAGATACCAAAGTGACCTAGCTGTCCTCCCATTCCCTAACAAATTAACAAAAAAAAATGAAGGATACAAATTTGGGCTATCAGGAGATTGCTTACCTCTCAGTACTCACCAAACCATTAGGCATAGTTTGTTGTTGATGATTAAGATACATATGATGTTCATTGTAGCCGGTGGCTGTATAAGCTGCCATGAATGGATGTAGTTTAAATAGGAAACATTTTCCATTTCCTTGAGAAGAGATACAAGGTAACAAGGTAAAAATATTTGCATCAGTATTCCAATGTATTTTTTCTATATGTTTCCATACCAATGAACTTGGGCCCAAGCCGCCAGCTATCAGATGCAAATCCTCCAAAAACATGCCCTTTGGTATCCTCTATGATTAATAATGTTGGGCCTTTGTTCATCATCTTCCCAAGCATTGAAGTAAAACTCAGTCCATGAATGCGAGTGGAAAACAATAGTGACCATTCAGATTGCAAGTCATGAGGCAAACTATTATTTATGAACATAATGTCATAAATATCTAGAATCTGAAAACAATGATTTTTCAGCGGTGGCTCATAGCAGATTTTCAAAGGCAAAAAATAATTAAATAAAATAACTGAGGACAAGAATTGCTTTTTACTCACAGTGGGCTTAGGTTTTGGACTCAGTTGGCAAGTGAGTAAAGGAATGATATCAGGTATACTTGAAGAACTTAACTTAAACAGAGAGCAGAGGACACTTCTTTGCACTGCATAAAGCAGTGGTTCTCTCTGAAGCCAACTCATAATAAGCTGAAACAAATATATCACACATGGTTCAACATCAGGGTGAATTTACTCAGATTCTTTAAGTGGTCAATTTCTGAATTACCTCTTCATTGTCGTCATTTGTTAAGCTATGCAAGCTTTGTATCATTTTGTCTGTTAGCAACTGAGCTGTCTCATCTGAGGGATTGACACCATTTCTCTGCCAACTATCTCTCGCAGCTGTATGGAAGGTGTTGAAAAGTTTCAAGAGATGAAGGGTATACTGGAGAAAAGGGAAAAAGAGACAGAAGATATAAACAGCCAAAATTAAACAGGTGGATAATGCTACAGGAACAAAACTTACTACAGCAGCAGAGTCAAGAAGGGGTGCTTCGAGTAGGTTTACTAAGTACTTTGAAGCATAGCCTGGGTCTTGGTAAATTACAGCATCAACTAAATCCAGAATATTGGAGAATTTTGCATGAGGCAAACCTCTTGAGATGCTCTTCCATAATTTTAGAGGAACAGGATTGGCGATTTCTTTCCATGACAAATTCTGAAATAACCAATGGGTGTTATTAAAGGAAAAATTAAAACAGTTACGTAATCAAAACAGGAAACTGGTTGCGCATGAGTTATTGCATTTGATTGCAATATTACCTAAGTTTGCTGCATTATAACCTTAAATCACGATTTTGAAGGCGAATACTTACAGCGTTAACCAGGCATTTCGTTAAAGGACAAGGGAACCGAAGAAATCAAACAATGCTTACTTTGAAAACCTTTTCTTCGGACAGTGAATCCGACTCGGATTTGACACCAAGACACGACGCCAGGGCCCGCACTTCATCTGCGGGAATGCGACGGGCAGTTTTGCCTTGTTTGCTGTCAGCGTTCCCCATTGTGTTGGGAAAGGCAAACCACAAAAGCCCAAAGCCACAGGACGCTGCCGACCGCAAACTGCCGCTTTCGCGATCGATTAGACAAAGCGGATCCGATTACTGATATGAGGCGGCGACGAGCATCTTGATCCCAGCAGACAGCTCATTGCAGACGTCGTCCCGTCAGCCGTCAGCTGACACCCTTCCCCCTCTCCGCCCCTCCACCCCACCCCTCCACGCCCCTCCCCCGGATACGCCGGATAGCGAAGCTAGTTCTCCTGAAAGGGAAGCGTGACTCTGAGGCTCTCTAGAAGCGTGCTACCTCATACACTGCGCGCTGGGTAAAGGGCGGTAGAGGTACCTTACCTTCACTACTCTGCGAGATGATAAAGGCGAGGCACGCGATTCTTCTAACACCTTGCAATCGACAAATGACGTGCCCTCAACTGCCTCTCTCTCGCGGGCCAGGGGGGCCAGCTTAGGCCAGCCAGGGCCAGGTAGACGCAGTGGGGGCGCGGCGGCGACCGGGGGGATTTCTTTGGTCAGGGCAGGGCCTCTCCTTCTCCTTTGTTGTTGTTACGTGGCCCTAGCGTGGCCCTAGCGTGGCCCTAGCGTGGTCCTGCCCTGCCCTGCCCTCCCCCTCCCAGATCATGGACGTGGAAACGAGGAGCCGCTGCATCCCGGCGGTGCATCCCGGCGGTCATTGCCTGGCGGTCCGGCCTGTCCGTCCACCTCCTGTGGCATCCTGCTCCCCTGGCCATATGTTGACTTTAAACAAACATATGAGGGGCCTCGACCGCGAAGCCAGCACGTGTGTGGCCGATGGGCCGATGAGCACACACACGTGGATCTCTCTGATGGCGAGAACCCGTTGCCCTCCCGTCCCGTCTTTTATTCTAGACGGTGTTGAGGGACGCCCCCCGTGGGCGAGGGTGCCGAGTGGACGAGTGGGCGCACAGCAGAGGTTCGGCCGTTGTGTGATTTCGGGGCAGGTCCCTAAGCGCGCTCCGTCGGGGACAGGACCTGCTGGACTTGCTGGACCGGGTGGGGAGCGGGGCCGGGGGCCGCAGCCCGGAGGCCCGGAGCCGAAGGCAGAGGCCGACCGCGGTCGAGGCCGGAGCCCGGAGCTGGGGCCGGAGCGGGCCGGCCGACCTCCTCGCTCGTCATGCCCTCCTGGTGCAAATCCAATCAAATAAGCGCCCCGTGCTCTAATAACCCCTTCGATTTTCAATCGATTGAAATTCAATTTCGAAGGGTTAACGACGGTTTGTGTGCATTTTGAAGAGTTTTCGGTCAGGGGCGCAGCCAGGCCAGGAGGTGGCCGCCGTCCCGGGGTTGCCTACACGGCCTAGACAGCCTAGACCTCGCGGGGCGGCCGACGCGATGCAGGTAGCAGGAGGCAGGCCGCAGGATGCAGCTCGAGATGCAGCGCCAGCACGCCAACACAGCCCAGGCGCAGGCCACTCCCCTCCCCGCCCCGACGGCGAGCCGACGGCCCGACCCCGGAGCACGAGCAAGACGCAGGCCGGCATCGCGTCGGCGCGGAGCGCGAGCGCTTCCTGCGAGCAGGTGCACTTTTTGGATGCACAGATGCACCGGGGACGGAGGCCGGCCTGCAGACTCGGAATAGTACCGTATAGGTGCGAAAGAGAGACAGAGTGGTGCGATGGTGGTCATGGCCGCGGTCGTGCGGTGCATCGCGGTGCAGCTCAAGATGGTCCCTGTTAGCTCACACGTGCATCGTGCGTGGACGTAGTAAAACACACTCCACTCCTACACTCCAGGGTTGCTGCTGCCTGCTGCACACGTGCACTCCGAGATGATTGGGCCTCTAATCGAGCCGAGCCGGCCAGCGAAGCCAGAGAGAGACCGGGTCGAGTCGATGCTGCCGAGCCGGGCGCGCCGCCGCGCCGCCGCCGCGCCGGGGCCCCGCCCCGCTCCAGGTGCATCCTTCGTCCTCGGCCGCCGCCTCAACCTGCCGCAGCCCGGAGTCGTCGCCCGGAGCCCGAGAGGCCGAACAAAGGCGTCTCGGTGCTGCTCTGCCGCTCCTCGTCGGCCACCTCCTTGGCCCCGCTGTTCGCCGGGTCCGAAATGGGAGCATCTCCTCATTTTTATGGGCATACTGGTCCATGGAGAGCACGCGGCGCGATGCTGCGCGATGCTTGCTGCGCGTCTCTCCTGCCCCGCCGTCTTCTGTCGCGGACGGGCAGACAACGCCCCCCGCGCACCACCACGCCGCGGCGCGCCTGGCGTGCCACTACAGTAGAGCCCGGAGTCGCCCGGGCCTTCCAAAAGCCGCATCCTCCGGGCTCCGGGTCCTCCGGGCACTGGCTCCGGCTCGAGGCCACCTCCACCGCGCTCCTCCTCGCCGGGTCTCTTTTTCACACCTTGCTGGCTCTGATTGCTTTGTTCACCTGGCCAAATGAGCCCTTAGGGCCTAAAAGGTCTTACAGGCCTAACAGGGTGTCCCCGGTGTGTCGCGTGTCCTTGCGTGTCCTGCAGGACGAAAGGGTTGAGAACGGCGACGGAGGCGACCCGGGCCGCATGCACCGGCAGGAGGTGCCCGCGCCCAGGCACGGCCAGGTATCCCCAGGTACCGTGGGGTCCGTGAGGCGAGTGCAGGTGTGAGCAGCCTGGATGGCGGCCTAGCGGGCGTAGCGTGATGGCGGCGACGCCCCACCCGCCCCTCTCCGCCCCCTGTCCCCGTCCCCGACGTCTCCACCCAGGCCAGGTTAGTACACTGTGCGCTCAGGATTCAGGTAGCGCTGCCAGCGCTGCCGGAGTGAAGCGTGGCCTCGGTTCTCGATGGGCGGGGAGAGACCCTGCATTCCCCGACAGAAACGAATTTCCGCGGGCCCCTCCCACTGTAGTCACCATGTCATTATGAGGGTCATGGTACGAAATTTGAAGGAACTATCATGTACACATTGCTGGATGAATTAGGTGGTCATCGGACAGAACAACCAATTTTCAATGGGTTACCCATGTGACTTACGCCCTTATGCCCAACGGCCGCTGAATTGTGAGCAGTGCTCTAGTTTTTGTCTTGGAGTACGTATGCCTTCACCTCGTGATAGCGCTCGCAAAGCTTCCCGCAGGCCTAAGACGCAGGTACTAGACAGACAGCCTATATTTGGACCGATTCCGGTCTATTTGGCATCTCAGAAAGAAAAAAAACCCATAAGATTCTATACTTTAAAAAAAGGGGGGTCTCATTCAATTGAGTCTAATAATCTATGAAGAAGTCAAATATAATTGAGGGAAATTTTCCACACTTTTGGGAAGGAGTTGTGCGTTGGTTTGGTGAAAAAGGACTCACAAATTAAAGAAGTAGAGGAATATCTATTTCTGTATGAATAATAAATTACAAAAACATATGATTAATGGTGAAGAATTACATTATCACACATACAGCAAAAGAATATACAATAAACAAAAGCTTGCTCCAATATCACAATGGTTCAGCACATCACATTATTCCACAAATCTTTGAGAATCATTCATGATCCACTTCAACACAAAGCAAACAGGTACACAAAGTTTACTGGCAAGCTTTCTGTCAGAGTAATGACAGTTGATAAATTAAAATAGAAACAATCTTGTTTATTAAAAATCTAAGGGTAAAAGTAATAGCCTCACAGATGAAAAAAAAAGATGGTTTTTCCCTGCACAGAACAGCAGTTTGAAAAAATATACAGGAGACAAATAAATGTTGACATAGACAGAACATAATAGAAAACACAAAAGAAATAACTGTCCGTCACAAAAAAAAATTATGTACATAAGAAGGGTACAAGAGCACACATACCCAACCTACACATGTGAAGTGGAAGTATGTACAAGAGAGGAATGGGTGAAGGAAAGGATGAAAGTAGTCTAGGGACTCAATAGAGAAGCTGGGTGACTGAATGAAGTAATGAATGCATAGAATAAATCACTATTTACAGCAGCATATCTTGTACAAATTCAATTCACTGTATTCTTCACTGGAAAAGGTAATATATTATAGCATAGCAAATTGAATAATCTTGTGGTTTCGAGGTACTTGCTTTGAGCGTAGGACCACAACATAATCATTAATGAAATATCAAAAATAGACAGAGCTATTGTAATCGGTGCTATGTAAAATATGGCCGGCTCTTTTGATCTTTGGCTCTCTTTTTCACATGTTGAAATGTATATTTCTAATACAGGATTGATTTGGCTTCCCTCTACATTAGACAAGACAAAATTATAAAATAACAAAAAACAACTACCATTGTCAGAAGTTACATCTGACAGCATCCAGAAAATTGATATCAGAATTAAGCTAAGACTAGTAACTATAGCTTTACACAATATCACAATTTTCAGCTTTTCAAAGAGAAAGTATGTTCACTTGTAACATAATACCATAATAAATTTTACTTAAGGTATCCTATAAATAAAAACACTTGGTTCATTTGAGATTTAACAAACTAAAAGAGTTTCAGTAAGTAACAAAACGGATGAAAATTTTATGCACAGAAGCGCTTCTTCCAAGAAGTGGAAGATTGTCAAAATTGTTGTCAAATCGATACCAATGTGATACATTGGTTTTCCAAAAGATCTCTTACTCTCTCTCTCTCTCTCCAAAAAGCTACATAAATGACTACCTAAATCACCATGGCCCACTTATCACAATCTGTCAACTTTTATGCAACAATCAAGTTAACGTCTGTTAAGCCTGAACCAAACCACAAATACTGTTATTATGTAAATGATTGCACAAAAGGCAACAATTGTTCCCGAGTTGTTCCAAAAATTGATATCAGAAATATCCATTTCATTAAGGATTTTTTTGGGAGCCTTGTAGTGGCAGTAGTTGATCCCCTGTGTGTGTGGCTTGTCTCTTGGAGGACAGGGCATGTTCTCACGCCCAAGTGCATACATTGCATAAACACAACCCTGGAAAGCAGCCCTGAAGTAGGAGATGTAGTACAGCCACTTGAACATGTAAGGGATGTCTCTGAACCAAATACAGAATCCAAAAATGGAGAGCAGCACAGCAAAAACAGGACCCAGGAAAACAGATATCTGAAAAGAGAAGAGATTGGATAGTGAGAAAACAACAATCATACTACAATTTACATATTAAAACAGGAGTGACCAGTTAAAATAAAACATGGACTCACAGTGATTGGGGTTGTTGCGCCAAAGAGGAAACCGCAGCCCTGAGCAGTCAGTGACGCCAAGGTTGCAAAAGTGTAAAAGTGAACAATGCGAACCAGATCAAAAGGTTGCTGGGTTAGCAAAATTGACGGTGCCAAGTAAGTTGCACACAAGACAGCCTGAAAGAAAAGAATCATTTTAATTATTTCAAAAAACAATACCAATCAAATCAGTGCCAAAAGACATAATGGTCTGAGTGTGCTTTTACCTGAAGTGGAAGCTCCACGAGAAGAGTTGATAGTAAATAAGGTGCTAGCGAGTACCAACGGTTGTAATGCTCACGGGTCAGAATTTCCACTTCTAATGGAACTACAAATAATAGAAACCACCAGTGTGAAAATTTAAGTTAAATAAATAAATGAATTAATAAAATAACTACAAAAGATATATATTGGAGACTCACATGCTAGCGTCACAGCCATCTGACCAGTATAAACCAAAAACAAGTTTGATCCATAAAGGTACACCACATTAGCTAGTACATCATTAGCATTGTCTCCGACGCCCCGATAAAGGTAGCCAAAAACCAAACCAATGAAGATGTGCATGAATGCTCGTAAGGCTAATGAACTCTGAAACACACAAGAACACAAGAGACAGTTTAGAAAATTCTATGATGCAATTAAGGCCAGATTTGAAAGGTTTGTAGAAGATTCTCACCCAGCTTCTTCTCATAATAGTGATGTTTCTCATCAGCAGGAGATAGAACTGCATCGCCATTGGGGCAGGAGGTGGCGGACATGTCACACCATCATCCAGCATTGTCAGACCAGTGCCTAAAAGCCAACCATCAGAAAAAACCATTAGCTGCGAATTCACCAAAATTACAATGGACGGAAGGATGAAGAAAACTCACCTGGGAGGACCACTGGATTTCGAGAAGCATTCTTTGCAGCTGCCTCAGAGAGACCTACCACTCCCACACCGCCCAAGTCTCCAGATGACACCTCCATCACTACACAACAAAAAAAAACAACCCGTCAGCGTTAGCAGAGTGCACACCAAGTAAAAGTAATAAAAGATTCACTGCAAAAAAATCCCCCCCTCTTCCCCCCAAAAAATAAAGGTAAAATGTGATGGTGGGCTGTGCCCTACACTGTGCCTGCACTGGGTACTCACGGAAGTCGGCAGGGTTGTGGTAGGGCGGGCACAGCATGCCCTGCTGGGCGAGGAAGGGCAGCAGGCCCTTGGTGTCGCCCTGGTACACGCAGCGTCCCGCTGCCACGGCGTACAGCTGGTCGAACATCTCGAAGAGCAGGGCGGACGGCTGGTGGATGGTGCACACGATGGTGCGCCCGTCGGCCGCCAGGCTCTTGAGCAGCGAGATGCACTGCGTGGTGGAGGAAGAGTCCAGGCCACTGCAACAGGGAAGGGAGCGCCGCGCGCCGCGCGTTAGAGCGAGAAAGCATTGAAGTGCGCGAAGCGCGAAGCACAGCGAAGGCGATGGCTGCTGGTGCCGCGGCGACGAGCGCGACGCACAGTGGGCCAGAAGACCGGTGCAGGCGGCCAAAACCCGGACGCGTTTTGGGCTCCAGAGTCGCTAAATGGGACTCGAACCGAACGTGTGACCCCACCAATGGATTGCTCTTCGAACGAGGAATCCATTGGTGGGGTCACACGGTCGGTTTGAGTCCTGTTTAGCGACTCTGGAGCTCAAAACGCGTCCGGGTTTTGGCCGCCTGCACCGGTCTTCTGGCCCACTGTGCGATGGGCGCGACGAGCGCCTGGCGGCAGGCATCCCATCCGACACGATCGCTGCCTTGTCTGGCGTAGCCTGGCGGCTCCGAGCTTCGCGCTTCACGCAGCGCAGAGGGAAGTCCAAGAAGGGACCCACGCCGACACTGTCGGGCCCGGTCCGGTCGGGCCCAACGCGGCGCTGCAATGCGCTGCAATGCGCTGCAATGCGCTGCAATGCCGGAATGCGAATGCAACGGAATGTCCACCACGAGCCACGAATAAGGTCGAGTTGGGTCGGGTCGGTCGGGACCCCTAATTGACTCAACCAGCAAACGAACGGCACGGCCCGGCACGGCATGGCCCGGCACGGCATGGCCCGGCCCCTCTCCGACTGTCTCTCTCGCACTCGTGGGGCGTAGCGGAGGGGTGCGAGGGAGACGGGACAAGGCGCGCAGCAGACGACACGCCGCCACACCGCGGAAGCAAGTGCAAGGCGTGAGCCCCGAGGGAGACAGAGACAGAGACAGGCACGCCTGCAGAGGGGGAGGGAGACGGGCAGAGGAAGACGCAAGAACCCGGCAAGTCGGACCGGGCCGGGCCGGGCCGGGCCGGACAGGCCAGACGACGCGGCGCGGCCCCTTCCGATCAGCGCTTCGTCGCTCTGTCTCTCTCGCACCCCTACGGACCCTCGGCCGCCCCATGGGTACGAGAGAGACAGACAGAGAGACAGAGCGACGAAGCACTGTTCGGAAGGGGCCCGCGCCCTGCAGCGCACCAGCGATTATAATCGTCGTCGGCAGCGGACGGATTCCGACAGGCAGGTCTCTCTCTCTCGCACTCATGGGGCGTGTCGTGTGGGAGCGAGAGAGACAGGCCGGTCACTTTGGCGGTGCCGGCAGGCGTCTTCTGCCCGCGTGGTATCGCGTGGCACGCCGTGGAGGAATGCCGCCTGCCGCGGCCTGCCGTCCGCTCGCTCGCTCGCCCGCTGCCCGACCAGGAAGCGGGTGGTCAAGAGTACGTCCGATACCCGCCCCGCCCCGCCCCGCCCCGCCCCGCCCCGCGGGGGTCCGCCGAAAACCCGTCTTTGTGACTCGCGATTCTGCGGACCTGCGGACAGCGCTCTGCAAGAGACTCCCCGAGATCCATCTCACTATCCATCACGCACGCCGATCCAAAGAGAGGCTCTAAACAAAAGGCGACTAAAAAGAAGACAGCGGCGTCTTGGCGTTTCCAGTCTCCAGGCCGGGGGGGGGGGGGGGGGCTAAACCAAATAACACGCATGAGCAAACATGCCGCCGCGTATCCCACACCGCGCCGCGCGCCGCGTCCGTCAGGCAGTGTGGCTGGCGCCCATTGATGCCGCCCCGTGCCCCGTGCCACCACACTGCAGTTTGCGGTGCATTTCTGCTCATGTTTTGGACGTTCCGACGGCCCAGGCAGAGGCATGGCGCCGCCGGTATAACGTGTCACCCTAGTAAGGACGGCCACGTCTCGTTTTGCAGTGCAGGCGAGCTTGTGTCGGGCCCGAAACGGCATACGATCATGTGTGGTCTAGCCCGTAATGGTAATGGTAATGCGAGGTAGGCCGCACCTCTGCGTGCGCGCACGGCAGCGCGGCGGGACTGCCTGCCCGCACGGCGTTCGCGCCAGGCCGCTCGGCACGCTTCGCTTCAGCAGTTGCAGGCGAATCAAAACAAAACGACAATCTGTGAACTGCATGCGTGACGTCAGCAGGGGAAAACAGCCTTCGGGCCTTCGGGCCTTCGGGCCTTCGGCATGGGCCGCGGGCTGCCCCCTGCGGGGCCCTGCTGCCCCGGGCCAGGCCGGTGGTCCGGGGCACGTGCGCGCCCGACTCGTGTTCCACACAGCGGACACAGTCACGGTCCGACGGCGTACGCCGTACGTCGCACGCGGCTTCTGCAGTTTCGTCTCGTTTGGCTTCGAGATAAGCCCGTTGGGTCCGCTTGGGTCGCAGCATCACCGACCGGCCCGCTGGGTCTGGCTGCGCGAGGCGCGAGGCGACACGATATCGGCTCGCCGCGCCGCGCCGCCGTACCGGGTCGCTGGCTCTCCGGCTCGCCGGCCGCGGCTATCCAAGGGGGGCATGTCGCCGATCCCGGGCCCCACTACGCACAGTGGGCCAGAAGACCGGTGGAGGCGGCCAAAACCCTAGACGCGTTTTGAGCTCCAGAGTCGCTAAATGGGACTCGAACCGAACGTGTGACCCCACCAATGGATTGCTCTCCGAACGAGGAATCCATTGGTGGGGTCACACGTGCGGTTCGAGTCCCATTTAGCGACTCTGGAGCTCAAAACGCGTCTAGAGTTTTGGCCGCCTCCACCGGCTTCTGGCCCACTGTGCTACGCCCCGCCCGGCCCCGCCGAGCCCCGCCGAGCCGGCGCATCCGCGTCCATCGGCATTGCACGAGGAAGTGGACGAAGTGGGCGAAGTGGATGGGGGAGGGGCACAGTGGGCCAGAAGCCGGTGGAGGCGGCCAAAACTCTAGACGCGTTTTGAGCTCCAGAGTCGCTATATGGGACTCGAACCGAACGTGTGACCCCACCAATGGATTGCTCTCCGAACGAGGAATCCATTGGTGGGGTCACACGTTTGGTTCGAGGCCTGCTTAGCGACTCTGGGGCTCAAAACGCGTCTAGAGTTTTGGCCGCCTCCACCGGTCTTCTGGCCCACTGTGAGGGGGACGCCCCTCGCTTGCAGGGTTGGGTTGGCGACGCCTCGCCCGCTACGCTTTCCAACTTGCAGGCGTTATGAACAGACGCCTGCCGCATCTTCGCGCTTGGGTGGATGTTTTCTACGCAACGTACCGGGGGGGGGGGGGGAGCCCCGGTGCCAACGCAACGAGCCTCAAGGCCGGTCCGTGCAGCTCCAGGGCCGGCTGCAGGCAGGCTTTCGAGCGCTCCAGCCGGTCACGCCCAGTCCAGGGGACGCGTGCGGAGGGCGGCTGCAGCGGGCACCGCGCCACGCCCAGTCCATGGCAGGACGCGTCGGAAGGGCAGGCTGCACAGGGCACCGCGGCCACGCCCAGTCCATGGCAGACGCGTCGGAAGGGCAGGCTGCACAGGGCACCGCGGCCACGCCCAGTCCATGGCAGGACGCGTCGGAAGGGCAGGCTGCACAGGGCACCGCGGCCACGCCCAGTCCATGGCAGGACGCGTCGGAAGGGCAGGCTGCACAGGGCACCGCGGCCACGCCCAGTCCATGGCAGGACGCGTCGGAAGGGCAGGCTGCACAGGGCACCGCGGCCACGCCACGCCACGCCACGCGTGCCAAACTGGTGCGTTTCGGCGTCCACTCCGCACCGGAAGTCAACATGCGCGTCGAGTCAATATTGGACCGCGAAAGCAAAGCCCGCGCCAATGCGCTTCGCCAGCTTCGCGCTGCGCGACTCCGACAAGGAAGGCCGCACAACACTCGACTGCAGACACCGCGGCGCCCGCCCCACCCCGCCCCGCCCCACCCCGCCCCGCCACGGCGGCGTGCTGCAAGTTGCACTCGACCGCCACGCCGCGGCCAAGTTCAGTGCCAGCCAGCAGCTCGGCCGGCATGGCCGGCTCAGCCAGACCGGCTCAGCCACACCGGGCCGGACCGGACCGGCTCGACGGGTGTCTGTCGGCCCAGAGGGCTCCGAGTCCGGCCGGCAACCGGCGGCGGCGCGCACCGCGTCACCGGCCAACGCCCCTCACCATGGGCGAGGTCTGGGTTTAGGCGCCGGTCCAGGGGCGGGCACAAGGACGGGGCCGGGAGCGCGGCCAGGGGCGGATCCAGGCACGGTTTCAGGGCGGGGTGGGTCGAGCACGGTCGAGCACCACTGGCTGCCCGCCAACGAGCACACGCCATGGAATTTCCAGTGATGCGTTCGTCTGTTGTTTTCCTTGTCGGCATTGCCTGCACCGCGGCGAGCGCGTCCTGGCCTGCACTTACGTGGTGGGCTCGTCCAGGAAGATGATGGGCGGGTTGCTGAGCAGCTCCAGGGCGATGGACAGGCGCTTCTTCTGGCCGCCCGACAGCCTGCCGGCGGGGGTCTGCTTGTGCGCCTGCAGGCCCAGCATGGACAGGATCTCGTGCACCTGCACACAGAGAAGCAAGGGTCAGGTCACTGAGAGAACGGAGAACGCGACGCGAGCCGTATTCGAGTGGCGCCTGTCCGTCAGCCTGCCTGGCCTGCCGGAACGTCTGCACCGGCCGGCTGCTTCTCCTGCTCCGTCGTCTGCTCCGTCGTCTGCTGGCGAGCGACGCCGCCGGGTCCATTGTCTCTGTCGCACTCTCGGGGCGTCCGGCAGGCCGGCAGGCCCGCAGCGCAGGGGCGCGAGAGAGACAGAGCCACCGCTCGGCTCTTGCATCACGGAAACATGCATATCTAACGAAGCGTGCCTCTAGTGGCACTAAAAAGTAAGAGCGCCGCGCAATCCGACGAGAGCCATGGCGCGTACACTGGGCACACCCGGTACACTGGCACGACTCATTCACGGGACGCCGTGCCAGGTGAAGAAAAATCCATTCAGCTCTTTCGCGTGGATTTCGCATCCTCTATGATAGTGGAGGTGTGATAAGGAATCTGCGGACTGATAGAGAGGACCCACTGCGTAAACTAGACGATCTTCTGCGTACTACGTGATTGGCAACTCTCTGCAAAAATAAATAGATGGATCTTGATGTGATAGTAGCGGATGGGATGATCCACTGCGATAGAGGATGCCCTGCGTGACGCGATACAGTAATTGCTGCCATCGAGAACCCCCTTGTCACGGAATCTTCTATTTCAATATCTGCGGATCCTCTATCACGCACAAGACGCCCGTTCCCAGGAAAACGGCGGGCCTCGTTGGAGCGCGGAGCGACACGCCAGCAGCGGACACATTTTTATCAGTGCGCCACCTTGCCGTCTACCGGACGGACAGGCGTGCCAGCTTGTCGACAATCGTGCGCGGAATTTTCCAAGCAAGCCGGGAACTGCAAAGGCAAAGCGCTCTGCGCGCGGCCAAGCCAGGCCAAGCCCGGATGATACGCTCGCCTTTCGCTGCGGACGTGACCACAATGTGACGTGGCGGCGACGTGACGGCGACGTGGCGGCGACGTGACGGCGACGTGGCGGCGTCCTCGAGGCGAACCCTTTCGCGTCACCGCCACGCCGCCGCCCCGAGCGCGTGCCGGCGCTAAATGCGGTGCGTTCCAGGTTACTTCTCAGTGCCGCCAGGGCGCCTGCTGTCCGCTCTCTCGCTCTCTCTCTCTCTCTCTCTCTCTCTCTCTCTCTCTCTCTCTCTCTTTCTCTCTCTCTCGCACTCCTGGGGCGTCCCGCATCGGTGCAGCCGGTCTGCATTGCGCACCTTCGGCATGCCTTCGGAACGCAGCCAAACGCAGCGCGAGGTTCGAGTTCGAGGTTCGAGTTCGAGGTTCGAGTTCGAGGTTTGAGTTCGAGGCTCGAGTTCGAGGTCCACCCTGCGTGCTTTTCCCGTTCCCCGCCCGCGTTGGCCAAACAGCCGCCTCCTTGGCAACCAGGCTAAAAGGCCGCAGAGCAAACTCCATTTCGTTTTTCCGTTTTCCATCTTTTTCTTGTTGGTTTGTAAGGACTGCGCGGCGGCCAGACAAGGACGAGTGGGCGCATCACCAGCAGCGCGAGTGAAAGAGAACGCTCCGGCTGCCTGCCTGCCTGGCTGCCTGCCTGGCTGCCTGCCTGGCTGCCTGCCTGGCTGCCTGCCTGGCTGCCTGCCTGCGCTGCCTGGCTGCCTGCCTGGCTGCCTGGCTGCCTGCCTGCCTGGCTGCCTGGCTGCCTGCCTGGCTGCCTGCCTGCCTGCCTGGCTGCCTGCCTGGCTGCCTGCCTGCCTGCCTGCCTGCCTGCCTGCCTGCCTGGCTGCCTGCCTGGCTGCCTGCCTGCTGCCTGCCTGGCTGCCTGCCTGGCTGCCTGCCTGCCTGCCTGCCTGCCTGCCTGCCTGGCTGCCGGCGAGTGTGAGGACGGGCCAGACGGCAACAAGCCACTTGGCCTTCCCCGCGAGGCGCGACGGTGCGACGGCGCGACCTCCTGGACTCCCGGACCCGTTACGTTCCGAGGGGCCGAACGACCAGCCAGCCAACCCGGTTGCTCGCATCAAAGCGCCCGCAATGTCGCTCGCTGCCTACCTTAACGTCCGAGGAAGTAACCAGCAGGGCGTGGAGTCAAACATTGACAATTATCGTTTGGAGGAGCTGGTTTGCATGTGGGGGTTTGGCCGGCTTAACGGTGCGGGCGTTGGGATTGGTTGGGATTCCCACCCTCCGGCCCAGAGAACAGAAAGAGGTCACATTGACGTCAAGTGAGCTAAAATGGAAAAACTTGGTCCCCGCAGGCGTGACGCCTCATGACGAATCCGGGACTCGGATTTTGAGGGCGAACCCCACCATAACAACCCTTTCTGAAAGGCCCCAATGTGCTGCTTTTACGTCAAAAATCCGCAGGCGTTGAGTCAAACATTAAAATTATCTTTGGAGACTTTTCATTTTTGGCCGGCTTGGGTGCCTTTTTTGGGGTTCCCTCCGCGTTCCGTCCCGTTCCCGTTTCGTGCCCCGCACGCAACGTCCGTGCCTCCTTTGGCAGACCGATTCCGAGTCGTCTCTCTCGCACTCACGGCGCGCCGCGTGCGGGTGCGAGAGAGACCGAGCGGCTCTGGGAATCAGTCCGCTGCCGAAGAACTGGGGAACTAGCGAGCAACACACAAGACGCTGCCCGGACAGGCACACACGCATGCGTGCACAGCACACAAACACACGCACGTGGGCCGACGTGTGTGCGCGTGCGTGCGTGCGTGTCGGTGGGGGAGGCGGCGGGCGGCGCTGCCCGGCGTCAAGTCGTTTACCCGGTAGTTCTGCCTGGTGCGTCTCTCTCTCTCTCTCTCCTCTCTCTCTCTCTCTCTCTCTCTCTCTCTCTCTCTCTCTCTCTCTTTCTGTGCGTGTGCGTGTATTCTCTTCCTCCTCCTCCTGCATTTAACTGCATTGTACCGGTGCCTCGTCTCGCCAGTCTCGCTGGACGAGCCTCGCCTGTCTCACCCCGTCACTCCGTCACTCCGACTCTGCGGCGTCTGCGGCCGGGAGAAAGATAGAAGACAAGACAGGCGTCGCCAGACAAACAGTGTTCTCGCCGCGTTCTCTCTCGCTCGCACGCCGGCCACTGTACGACGTCAGTGCCGACTCTTTCTCTCTCTCGTTGTCACAGTGAGAGAGAGGGACGAGCAAGACCAGCGCCACGCGAAACACAGCGACTGCTTCATTTCTCATTAAAAAACAGAATGAATGAAAAATTTTTTTTGCCTTTTTTAAAAAAATTTATTTTGCTAGTATTTGCGGAGCCGACCAAACCTGCCACCGCACCACCTACGTTGTAATTTGTAATTTATTTAAATTATTTTTTCAGCTTTTTTTTTTTTTTTTTTGTTGCACGGGCACGTGTGGTAGCGCGCGTGTCCGGTCTCGCCCGCAATGCATTCCGCGATTGTCTGTCTGGCCGGGCGGACGGAAAGATGAAAATGATGAAAAAGCTCCGGGCGGCTCGCGTGCGCGGCCAACTGGTTAAAGTTTCGCGAGCGGAAGGCAGGCAGGCAGTGTAGTGGCAGTGCGGTGGCAGTGCAGTGCGGGGTGCGGCCGGCCGAGTACTGACACGTCACCGCCGCCCTGCCGCCCTGCGTCTACACCGTATCTACGGAGGCCGTCTGTGAGAACGCCGATAAGGACTCGGTCAACCGGGCGAACCGGGTGGCCGACGCTGACGAGACCACCATTCCCCGAAAGCTCGCACCCGACCCAGCCAGCCGACCTAGCTAGCCGACCCAGCCAGCCGACCCAGCCCCAGCCCAGACCCGTCCCACGCAATTCAATTGGAATCCCCGATGTTTAGTTTGCGTCTGCGACGGACCGAGACGGCTGAAAAACGGCCGCGGCCACACAAGAACGGAGTGCGTGCGGTGTTGCGTCGCGTGGGTTCGGCGGAGCACGGAGCACCCATTGGGAGACGCCGGTACTTACACCCGCTCCGCACCCGACCCGAACCCGCCGCGACCCGACTTGCGAATCTTGCCGAGTAAAAAGCCGAACGCACAGTGGGCCAGAAGACCGGCGGAGGCGGCCGAAACTCTAGACGCGTTTTGAGCTCCAGTGTCACTAAACAGGACTAGAATCGAACGTGTGACGCCACCAATGGATTCCTCGTTCGGAGAGCAATCCATTGGTGGGGTCACACGTCCGGTCCGAGTCTCATTTAGCGACTCTGGAGCTCAAAACGCGTCTAGAGTTTTGGCCGCCTCCACCGGTCTTCTGGCCCACAGTGGAACGCCGACGTCGACGGCCACCCGCGCCGTTCACGCGGACGCATTCCGCACAGGGCGGCCCGAGTTGAGAATACCGTACCCGCGCGGTGCGAAAAGGCCCGCTGCACTGTAGCGCCTGCGAGGTAGGCCGGCGCTCGGCCGGGACCGCACCGCAGTGGAGACGGCGGCCTACCCCGCCCCTGCAGTCTCCCAGGCGCGAGGTAGGCCGCCCCCTCCACTGCGGTGCGGTCCCGGCCGAGCGGCGGCCTACCTCGCAGGCGCTACAGTGCCGGCCGTGCTCACCTTGTGGCGCTTGGACGTCCCCGAGACGGTGTAGCCCAGCTTGAGGTTGGCGGCCAGCATCATGAGCTCGTCGACGAGCAGCAGGGGCCGCAGCGCGTCGTCCTGCTGGATGTAGCAGCACAGGCGGCGGAAGGCCTGGGGCTGCCGGTCGTCGCGCACCTGCCCGTTGACGGCCACCTTGCCGCCGGAGCCGCGCAGCCTGCAACACACAAAGCCGAACGCCTCGCTGCAGTGACTGCTCCTGGAGTCCTGGAGCCGCCTGGAGTCGCCGGGCAAGACTCGACACTCTCGGCGCGCCGCGGCGGGGAAGGCTGAACATTGACCCGCGCGCAGTTCGCACCTCCAGTTCCGCCTAATTGTCTGCGGCAGTTAAATTGGATTGAGCACTTAAGAGGGTTCCCGCGGCCGGGATGGGATGGGCCTACCGCTAGCACTGTCCAAAATAAAAACAAAATCGATTTATTTCGGCGCCCCTCTGCAAACGTTGTGGACCGGCTACGCGAATGGTTCCTTCCCTGGCAGACAACAGTGGGCCAGAAGACCGGTGGAGGCGGCCAAAACTCTAGACGCGTTTTGAGCTCCAGAGTCGCTAAGCTGGACTCGAATCGAACGTGTGGCCCCACCAATGGTTCGGAGAGCAATCCATTGATGGGGTCACACGTTCGGTTCGAGTCCAGCTTAGCGACTCTGGAGCTCGAAGCGCGTCTGGAGTTTTGGCCGCCTCCACTGGTCTTCTGGCCCACTGTGCGGACCCCCGCACCACCGGCGGCATGCTGTGCTGCACGGCCAGCCCAGGGGCAGCCATGGCCGTGCCGCCTGCCCCAAACGGCGTTCGCTAGGCCGCGGCCGGCATGCGCAACACCGGTCTGGTCTGCTGGAGCGCTCGCGGGCACTGCCAGGCACTGCCGCACTGCTGGCGGCTGCAAATGACTGTGTTCGACGGGGGAAGGGCCGAGGCCGAGGCCGGCCCGGGCAGTGTAGTGGCCCAACGGGGGACGCGGCGGGACGCAATCCGAGTACCACCGAGTACCACGTTGCCATGGAGCAGGAATCGGGAATTAATTAAAGAGGCGGGCGGATCATTTTCGGCGCCAACCTACCCCACAGTGGGCCAGAAACCGGCGGAGGCGGCCAAAATTCTAGACGCGTTTTGAGCTCCAGAGTCGCTAAATGGGACTCGAACCGAATGTGTGACCCTACCAATGGATTGCTCTCCGGACGAGGAATCCATTGGTGGGGTCACACGTTCGGTTCGAGTCCTGTTTAGCGACTATGGAGCTCAAAACGCGTCTAGAATTTTAGCCGCCTCCGCCGGTTTCTGGCCCACTTTGTGCCCGTGTCCCGAGTCCCCCTCCCCTCCCCTTCTCTCCCCTCCCCCCGCCACGGAGCGCGGAGGCGAGGCGGCATTCGAACTCGGCGCCACGGGTCGGCCTCTGGGCGCGCAAAAGGAGCGCGCGAGGCGCCTCGCCTCGCCTCGCGAAGCGCAAAGCAGTGCAAAGCAGCGCAAAGTGGCCGCCGCCCGTTTCGGCGGAGCGGCCTCGAGGCCCATCGAGGCGAAGCGGCTCGCGAAGCACGCGAAGCACGCGACGCAAGGCTTTGCCAACGCGACGCCCTTCGTCGGAAAGGCACGATCGATTCTCTTTTCGAGCGCGGGAAGTGCCCCATTTGTTTCAGAAAAACGACGACCCGCCGCATTGGCGACACTCACTTGAAGCCGGCCAGGATGTTGAGCAGGGTGGACTTGCCGGCGCCCGACGGGCCCATGATCGCCGTCAGCTCCCCGGACCGGAACTCCCCGGACACGCCATGGAGGATCTGCTTCCGACCTGCACAGAGAACACGCCATCAGGCACGCCGCCACGGGAAGCTGGAGGCTGCACTGTAGGGAAAAGTGAACGACACTATTTTGGCCGGCCGAGCACTTGCAGTGTGGCGTCGACCGGGTTTGCCATGATGACAGTTGACGAGTGTGAGCGAGCTCGAGGTTCAACTCGCCCTGGCGGCACAACTTTCAAATTTGTCGCCGACGCCGTCTCGGAGCGCACCGCAGACAAAATGAAACGTCCGCTCACATTCCGCGTCGGAAGCATATCGCCTTCAGCAAATCGGACCGTCTTTCGGCCCGGCGGCCCGGCGGGTCTGACGGCGAGGGAGGGGGGGGAGGCCAAGGGGAGGGCCAGGCCTGGTCAGGCGTGCGCCCACGCGACTAATCAGGTACTTTCCACGGCTTGTAAGGCTGGTAAGACCGCGGGGTACGGAGTGAGGCGAGGCAGACCGTATCCGTCAACACAAGCGATAAGACCAAACGCCGACACAACGCACCCGCCCTCGCAAACACACACACACACACACACACACACACACACACACACACGCACGCGCGCGCGCGCGCGCAAACAGAAGGGAAAACCCGGCGCGGTCCAGCACACAGAAGCACGTGTAAGTGCGGCGCCACGTCTGCGACACAACAGCAGCGCCCCCCATTCAACGGGTAGCGGTCCAACCATCAGCATCCAACCACTCCCCCGCCGCTGCCTCTCTTCCTCTCTGCCAAACCCACGGCCCAGGTTCGCGTGCCCGCAGACTCTGTGTGTGTGTGTGTGTTGAGTGTGTGTTGTGTGTGTGTGTTGTGTGTGTGTTGTATGCATGTGTGTGTGTGTGTGTGTGTGTGTGTGTGTGTTGTGGTCAGTCGCGCGGCGCGGCGTGCACATTGCGTGTTTCGGCCTTTGGCCAAGCCTTTGGCGTCCCTGGACCTCCGTCGAGGGTCGGCATCGGTGCCCTTTAATTGGTCGGGGCGAGGGCAGGCGAGGCAGGCTGCAGAGGCACGAGCACCGCAAGCTGTTGCTCCAGGCGCGAGAAGGTCGCACTGCAGGACTGCAGGGGGGGGGGGCGTGGGAAAGCCTCGGTCGATCTGCGGCCAATGACTTCCTATCGCAGCGACTAGCTAGGTGGTTCCCCCAACGGCCTTTCAACACACAAGCCGGAAAGCGGAAGGCCCTTGTCCCATTTGAACAGGCGCGGAACCGGGGGAGGGGGGAGGGGGATTTGACGGCGATGGAAGCAAGTTGAAATTGAATGGTGAGTCGGCCAAACCATCCAGGGATGTCTGCAACGCGAACGACGCCAGCCGCTATACTACGCTTTTTTACATTTCTCCGTCGCCTTTCTTCTCTCTCACTCTGACTCAATTGACTCTCCTCGGCGTTTCTTTGGCGCCGTCCCCCGTCCCCCCCCCCTTCTCGCACGCGCATTTCTCCGCGAGTGACACGCGACGCGCGGGTCTTCGAGGGGCACTCGCAGGGCAAAAAGCGACTGCCAGTCACTCTTTGCTTTTTCGATCATGTTGTTGTTGTTGTTGTTGTGCAGTTTTTCGACTCCTTATTGAAAAAAGGGACGATCGTCGCGACAAGAGAGTCGCCCCTCGCTTTCGCCTTTGTTCACTGCGGGGTCTCGGGTCTGCACTTGCAGCGCCGCTTCGGTACTTCTTCGAGACTCGAAGGTTTTTAGTAAGCTGGACCACCCCACCCCGGCGCACTGTAAAGAACGTTTTTCTCAGTGTGGCTGTCTATGCAAAGTGTAAAACACGTGCGGTCGTCAGCGCACGGCGAGCGAGCGAGAAGGTTGAGAGAAGTCCAGTCGGAAACGCCCGCGCCATACATCATGCGAGGAGAGCGTAGTATTTCTAAAAGCGAGTTTACGATTTAGCCGCACAGTGTACTAGCCTCGGGTTGCGGCGCACCGCGTCGCACGTGCCCCTGCCCCGCACTCGTCTCGTTGCGAGAAATCACCGCGAGCAAGTCGCGAGTACCGACGGCCCGACGGCCCGCCCTGCCTTATCGTCCGCCGTGACTTTGGCCTCCATCGGACCGCCGATAAGACCAAGACCGCCACCGCGGCGGCCGCTCCAAAAACGAACCGCCAAGTCTGCTTTTCCCAGGAGCTTCGCCACCCTTTCCAGGAGGGCTCCTCCTCCCTCGGAACTCGAGGCCAATTTTCAAAATTGTCCGAATTGACTTTGCTTTGCAGAAATGGATTCGTCTCGACAAGACGAACGAAAAATGTCAATGCGTGGCATAGGCTTGGATGCGAAATAAGGAAGTATTTGATCGCCAAAAGTGCTAAATTTCCCTATGGTGAGATTCCCTATAAGATGGCACTTTTGAAGCTCAAATTATACGTCCTTAATTCGCATCCTAGCCCATCACGTGTGTTGACATTTTGTGTTTGTTTTGTTGAGACGGATCGATTTCTGTCAAGAGAGAGTCTCCCCGACTTACGCAGTCTCCGCTTGCCGAAGTCGATGTCCATCATGCTGCAGGTGACCTCGCTGAACTGCAGGTTGACGGCGGGCCGGCGGGGGAACACGGACTGCGTCTGCTGCTTGGTCAGCATGTGGGACTTCTTGGGCAGGTTGTTATTGTTGTTATTGTTGATGCTGAGAGGGTCCACGATGGACAGCTTCTTGGCCGGGCTGCCGTTGGCTTTGACGGGGCTGGTCGGCGCCGACCCGTTGGCGCGTCCGTTCGCGTAGCCGTTTCCGTTGACGTGTCCGTTGACGTGTCCGTTGACGTGACCGTTCGTGTGTCCGTTGGCCTGTCCGTTGACGTGTCCGTTGGCCTGTCCGTTGACGTGTCCGTTGGCCAGTCCATTGGCCTGTCCGTTGACGTGTCCGTTGGCCTGTCCATTGGCCTGTCCGTTGACGTGTCCGTTGGCCTGTCCGTTGAGGGGCGCCGTCGACACTGGCGAGATGTCGCCCATCACGTCGAAGGCGGCCAGCATTCTGGTGGTCATGGCTGCGCTGGCTGCGCTTGCAGGGAGAGTTACAGTGTCACTGCATCAGCGGCCTGCAACACACAACGGGAATGCAACCGTTAGTCTCGGGGCGGAGGTTTGCACACACAGCAAGGGGTCCCCAACCGGCGAAAATCGGTGTACACGGGTGAAAAAGTCATTAAAAAAGTCACTAAAAGTCAAAAAAGTCAAAAAGTCACAAAAGTCAAAAAGTAACAGAAAAACCACTATAAAGTATCCAAAAAGTCACGAAACAGCCTTTAAAAATGCCAAATTTCAATGAACGCTGGTGGAAAAGTAACTTTTTAAGTCAAAAAAGTCATTTAAAGGTCAAAAAGTCAATTAAAAGTCAAAAAGTCATTAAAACGTGTGAAAGTGAAAATAGTTCCACGGCAAAACAGTCGCAAAAAGTCAGAAAAGATACTCAAAAAAGTCTCAAAAAAGTCAAAAAACAATCAAAAAGTCACAAAAAAGTCAAAAAAGTCAGTTTTTACGTTAAGTCAGTGTACGCTCGCCGGCTCGGTTGGGGACCCCTTGACACACAGGCCCTGGAGGCGGGTCTCACTCCGTCTCTCGGCGGCACGGAGCGGGACAGAGTTGGACACCGCAAGACGCGCCCAGCCGGTAGGAGCAGGCCCGGTAGCAGGAGGGCGTGCCTAGGCCGCCTAGGCGTGGGAGACGCGGCAGCGCACGCTGGAGGTGAAGGCCCGGGGGCTGGGTGGGCACCGCCGGGCACCGCGATCTTGGACACGCCGGCGTACGCCGTGGCGGCCGTGGTGCGTGTGTGTGCGTGTGTGTGTCTCATTACCGCGAACTGGGACGCGGCCGCGTGCATGCGTGTCTGTGTCAAGGAGCGCGTCCCGTCCCAGCCTTGGACTTGCGTGCGCAAGCTTCGTCTCTTGTCGCCGAATCGCCTTGATCGGTGACCGTCTCGCGATAATGGCGGGCCTGGCGGGCCAACATCAACACCCGCCCCGCCCCGCACGTCCACCACGCCGCGGCTGTGCTGGGCCAGCCCGAGGGCCAGCCTCCTCGCGGACCACCTTAATGTCGCACTCCTCGCCTTGAACTGCCTGCTGCGCGCCACGGACCCCAGTGGCGTGCGCAGAAATTTTGAAAGGGAGGGGTCAGGCCATGCTTTTTGCCTACTTACAGGGGGAAAGTGACGCAATTTGCCTACCTTCCAGGCGGCTGTCTAGTCGCCAAAGGGGGGGGGGTCATGACCCCCCTGACCCCCCCACCCCTCCCGCGCACGCCACTGACGGACCCGCATCGAAGTCGCACTGCCTCTGGGGCCGCTCCCCCTGCTCCGCCCCTCCAAGCCATGCACAACCTTCAAAGTGCCCTAACAACGGAAGAAGGGACGGCCCTTACAAGCCGCTCGGCCTCAGCTGAGTGCGGCTGTGTGCCGCCACCGAGCCTCAGCCCCGAACATCCGTCAAGGTCGGACACGGGTGGAGACGCAGTAGACGCATTAGCGCGACTGTGCGCGGGGGGTGCCACCTCTTGGCGCTGCTCGGCATGGGGGCGGCCCCGGTGGATAATAACTGATGCATCCCGTCCAACCAGCTGATGCACCGAATAGGCCGGCATTCTAGAGCGCGGATGGCACCGCCGCCGTGAGACCGTTTCCCGTTTAATGAGGACGGCGATAGTAAAAAGATGCACTTTAAGAGCACCAATCCTAGAAGCCGCCTTTAAGTATGCAAAGGCTGGCGATTCTCAACCGATACAAGTTTACGAGCCGGTCGTTGGCGCGACAAGTACTCTCCTTACGTAAATGAGTGGAAAACAGGGAGTAGCGCAAATCCGGATGGAGACTGATGAGGATCGCTAGCTGTCGTGCTGCCTTTCGGCCCCCAGCGCCACAACCATTAAATTGTCAAAATGCGTGATGTGAAAACTGTCCGACAGCACAGTAAACAGTGAAAGCGATATCTGTTTTCTTCTCGCCGTCCACCACGGTCTACTTATTTTCTTATCGGTCAAGGCATACGCTGAATCAAAATTGATTGTATAAATCAGCATGACGCGTAATGCATAAACATGTATACTGTTTACGGAGTGTATTCCATGTGTGCTGATGTCACTGTTGCAGCTCGACGCTGCTGATTACCGTCTTGTCTTAATCGATACTAATTGCTCTGCGTACATCATTCATCCACAGTATAGTACACTGTCCGCCCCGACGACGCGGAGCACAAAAAGGCCAAGTGCCTCCTTCTAAAACAAAAAATAAAGATAAATTTGCAACGAGAGGATGGTTTTTTTTTAAACCGGAAATACCGAATGGTTGGTTATCCGGGTATATCGGGTGTCGGTACGGATAGTATTGTGGAGCCATAATACAGACGGAATTTAATTTGAAATACAGATGTTCTTTTCCGCAATCCAACATGTTGCACAACTACAAACTTGATTCCAAACGTGTACTATGTCTTCACGAAACTATCCGCGCGCAACGTACAGACCCCTTGTCTGTGAGGATTTTAGTGGGTTTTCCTCGACCCGGGGTGACGTTGCCCCATAAAGTAATTACGGGCTATATCCATGTGCACGTGGTGATACAATCAGTGCCGTCGTCTAGCACAATGTACGATGAGGCCGACACCACTAATCTCTTCCAGTCTTTGCTCCGGGAATGGGGCTATTTGGCCGGCCCGGCACGGCGCCGCCACTCGCCTCTTTTTGGCAGCGGGATAACAAGCAATGACAAGCCGGTGGTTTGGTCCAGTCCGGTCGGGTAGGTGCGCCTGGCTTAGCGATTAGGTAGCCCATGCAGAGGGGCCGGAGCCGAGCCACCCGACACCCGGCACTCCGCACTCGGCGTCTGGCCCGCCCGTCTGGCCCACGCGCCGCTCCGCCAGCGCGGCAGGCAGGCAGGACAGCCGGCCGCGCCGTAGACGAGTCGAGACAGGCGATCCGGACCGGAGCGGACCGGAGCCCTGCCGCCTTGCCGACCTGCCGCGCCACCGCCACGGTCAATGGCAAGGTTACTACACCGCTCCGACACACGCACACACGCTCACTCTCACTCACACGCGCGCGCCGGCCGCGCCGGGCCGCGTGTCGAGCTAAAGGCTTGGCGCAAATTGGCCGTACTATTGGCGTGTTTCTTTTTGAGCGCCGAGCAAGGCGTCTCCTAGCCTCCCTGTCCGCAGCCCCGCGGCCGGGCCTAGCCGGGCCCCAGCGCACGCCGCGGGGATTTGCACCGGGATTATTATTTGCACAGTCAAGCGGAGAGGACATCCTCCCTCACTCAAATTTGTCTCCGTGCCTTCGCTGCTGTTGTTGTGTAACGTCGTTCACACGCCAGTCAGTCTCGGCTTCCCCAGCGCGTGCCGGCCGTCGCCGTCGCGGCAGCTAGGCGGCAGGCCGCTAGGCGCGTCGACCCCGGGCTCCACCTCGCCGTCGCAGCCAGGGGGCAGCGCGTCACCCAAACGAATGGCTCAGTATGCATCACAGGCTATTGCAGTGCCACCTCAATGCAATCAGCCGTGTAGAGTACTCACTGAAATATTGTAATGTACTCGCTGATTATGCTTGTAGCATGTTCACTCAGCTCCAAGTACATCTGTATGTGTAGTACTTGCGTAAGTATGCACGTAATGCATCTAGTAACACACCTTGTCAAAGTTATGCAGAGTACACCTGTATGCGCTCTAAGGCAACTTTCGCGACCCCCCTCTAAATCCGCCCACTGGCTCCCCCTTCGACGGCAGGACAGTGTCGAGCGGCTCCGGGCTCGGACTTCCGTCAGTGGGATGGATAGGGAATGGTGCTTATCCTAGGTTCGATCCCCGCCCGTTCCCTAAGCCGGACCGGCCAGGCTGGGCCGGCAACTTGTTGCGACCGCTTGTCTAGCGCCGCTCGGCCGCTCGGCCGCTCGGCTCGGCCGCTCCGAGCGCAAGGTCGCCAAACCAGTTCGGCGTCGACGTCACGGCGCGTCACGGCGCGGCGCGGGGTCGGTGGCCCGCGCGCTGGCAAGAGCGGGCAGCGCCAGCGTCACGCCGGGCACGCCGGGTGGGCCGGTCCCCGCCGCGGTCCTCTCCGCCACCCCCACGTGTCTCACGTGGCAAAGTGCGGAAAGACAAGAAACAAGCGTCTCATCAATTCAATCGCAGACGCCCGTCCGCATTGCGCGCTAACGACGAGCGCGTGGAAGGGTATGTCTCTAGGATTGAAATCAACTACAGTAGGAAAATTAATTTGTACGTTAACAAGTTTCGAAAAAAACTAGTCTAGGAATTTTCCAAAGAACTGGATGGGGACAAAAAAATTGACTACGATCCTTGAAATGTCTAAAAAAAAACCCTACTGTGTCTCCACTTTGTTTCCGGCAGGTTTAGTACAAATTTCATTCCCTACTCAACGTATGCTAATTACCTCGCAACTTGAGTGCGCAACTTGCTCGACGTTTAGATGTGAACACGCAAAGCTAATTCTCAAATTAGCACATTCTGATGGCATGGCGGCCTATTGGAATCAATAAAACATCCTGACACCTTTACAACCATAATTTCGTTTTCTATTTTCCCGTCTAGCTGTGTTCATTAGTGTATCATCTGCTAAAAACTTTTTCCAACATTTGGTGACAAGTTTCCGCGATAAGTTCGGACCAGCCTCGCGTTGCCACTTCGCCCCCGCGTTGACGAGTGGCGCGGACTGCGGCGGCGCATCAGCGACAAGAGGCAAAATGTACACGTAATGAGTACTGATTTGCAGCCCATGTTTTTCCGCAGTCGCGTCGTGTCTCGACAAGGTTGCCTCTTTGTCTGCCGCTCTTTTTCTCTTTCTTCTCTCTTTGTTGCGGCATTTCGGCCGTCCGCCTCGGTCAGCACGTGGGGCCCTGAGTGTGCAACGCCCGGGGAAATAATTGATGGAGAGAGGCTGAAGAATTGGCGGCGCGCCACCTATCCCGCGTCAATCACCGAAGTGCTTAGGCCGCGCCTAGCCGCGCGGCCCAACAGGTGTCGGTACACAAATTGAAGCCTGCGCAGTGTCGCAGGTCATGCTTTCCTCAAAAAGGAGTCTCGTTGGCCTCATGGTGCCT